TTTTTCCATTTTAACCCCTCTTTCTTTTTTTTTATTTTTTTTTATCTTAAATATTTCAATTTAATTATATTACATTTTATTTTTTTTTTTTTTTTTTTTTTCTATCCACATCCTTTAGTACTTCGTGGGTGAAAGCCACATGGTTTAAATTCAATCAATAGTATCAAGGCTGCACTTCTTCAAATCTCGTCTTTACTCAATTTCACTCACTGAGTTTGGTAATAGTTTGGAGGGATGGCATACTGAGGGATGCTTTGAATCAAAAAATCGTTGTATGTATTCATTTTTTGATTTGAAGCTTGGCTGAAGTTCGAAAAATTGGTACTTTGGTTTGGAGTGAGGGCTTGGCCAGAGTCTGAACTTGGGAAGTTTCCACCGCTTAAATGTGTATTGGCGTTTGGATTAGAATGATATTGGTAGTATGAGAAATTCATGGGTTGCAGACTCTGTTGATTTGACAGTTGAGGCTGTTGCTGCTGCTGCTGCTTGCTGGAATACTGAACCGGGTATTGCAGTTGTTGCAGTTGCTGCAGCTGTTGTGCATATGGATTATTCTGGAGAAACGTGTAATTGGGTTGGAAAGAGGAAGTTGAACCTGCCCTTTGGTGTCCAGTATTATTAATAGGCGGAACTGAATCTAGGCTTAAGCTACGAACAGAGCTATTGTATGAGGGGCCCTGGTTACTGATAAATTCTCCATTCGCATTCATATTCAATTGATGAGGAATGGTGGGGTTATTGTTATTGTACCCCATTTTTGCGTTGGATGCCTTTGCATAGTTCATACCGGGATTGGAACCATGGTTCAACAGTGCAGCTCCAGTTGTACCGGTCGCCGAATTGTTTAAAATGGAGTTAATCTTCAGTTGGATCCTCTTTCCAAAGCTAGAGACGATTTTGCAATTCGCGAACCATTTCTTAATTACCTGAATTTGAATTGTTTCTGTAGATCCACTGTACGCTACGAGTAACTGTAATTTAGCAGATGGGAACTCATTGGTTAAGACATCGATGAGCGTTTGAATAACGTAGTTTCCGTATGGGTCATTAATTAACTTGTTCAAGTCAGATGTCAAAATATGATAAATCAAATCGTACTTCAAGTCTGTGAATGTCAAGTCTGTCCTAGAGTTATCAGTGGCTTCATTATTGCCAATGTTGAGATTGTCAAGCAAATTTGAAAGTTCACTTGAAGAAGGCTGCGAAAAATTACTTCCCGTCGAGTTCGCGGAAATGGTTGCAAACTTGGGTGCACTACCTGCAGTACCAGTACCTGAAAGAATGGAATTTGCTGCAAATTGTTGCTGCAGTGATTGCGAAATTGATTTTTGGTGCGAGTTTTTCCTTTTGGCTGCAAATTTTTGCTGGTTCTCATTCATAAAACAATTTTTCAAAAACTTTTCAATGACGTTAGATGAAAACTTCAAATTACATAAATTGTCAATACCAAATTTGACAAACCCATCGAAAACTCTATAGTTAATATCAATAGAGTTTATGGAGATCAAATATTGCAAAACATAGTTACCAAATTGATCGTTAATTAACTTGTAAAAGTTTTGAAATTTCAAAATCAGCCTGGCAAACTCGTATAGTTGCTCATCAGTTACATGATTGAGACACTTTTGTAAAACACAGCAACCATGCTTATGAGTTGCAACAACTATTAGATCTCTTAATATGGACTCATAGATGAATTGACAATTTTGAGGAGAAAATTTGTTTAGTATTTTTTGAATAACGTGATTCCCATTCAAATCTTTAATCAATTCAATGATGTACGGTTTCAAACCTTTGATGAGTAAGCTCAATTGATAGTCATTGTTCAAGCTATCGATTATCTTTTGCAAGGCCCTGGTTCCATGTTGGTTAATAGAAATCTGGAATAGGTTGAATTGTAAGATTTCCAAAATCATATTCAACTTGCCCTCGTCACAATACGAAATCAACTTTTGAATCAAGTAATTCCCAAAAGGGTCAATTATCAATTCGTAGAAATTTGGATAGATCTCCTTAAAGATGATTTCGAAGTTTTCCAACCGAACTGAGTAGTTCGAAATGGTGTTTTCATCGATCTTCTTCTGGAGAAATCTACACCCATATTGGTCCTTGGAAAGCTTTAACACTTCATGCTTCAAGTCACAGAGTGGGATCTTGTTGAGAGTGGTAAGGTACTCCTTGTCTATCTTCTCAGAAGAAGAGCCGGCAGCACTACCATTGCCATTCCCATTCCCATTGGAGTTATTGTACGAAGAAGATGAAACGGACGATGATCTTAACGGTGGGGTCTTCGTCACAGTGTGCACTGGGAAATTTTCCTTATCCAAAACAGCATGCAATTTATCTAAAGTAGATGAAGATACGTTCAAGTCTTGCTTATTGTTGTTGGACACAGAGTTATTATTTACATGAAGCGGAGATAAGGAATTGTCGTCGAATGAGGGCAATGTAATATCTGAGTTTTTATGGATATTACCATTATGATTACCATTATTGTTACCTTGGTACTGAGGAATAATAGGATGATCCCATAAGTTCAGGTGTGATCTCTTATGTTTTTGAGAATGAGAATTGGAGTTTTGGTGCTGATGGTAGTTAGGGTGATTTTGAAGTGAGGGTGGTGTGGTTGGTTCTATAATAGATGAGATCGAGTTGATCGATAAATTGTGAGAATGTGAGTGTGCTGGCATATGTGTTACTTAGTGCGAGTGTGTTTTAACTTTGTTTGTGCGAATGAGGTGCGAAATGTGGTAACTACTAAACTATGCTTAAATAGTGTGTAGTATAATATGCAATAAAATAAGGTGTTTATAGTGTTTTATGATTTTTTTTTTTCTCGTTCAGTAAACTTCTAAAAATTGTACCAATGATAAATTTCTAGGGCAAGAAAATTTTTGGCTAACAAAAAAATTCAAATTAAACTTGCCAATTGTAAGTTCCTAAGGATACACTAAGAGTTCTTAAGAATGGAATCGGTCAGTTCTCAGACAGTAGTAGTACAGAAGAGTCTAATTGAAAATTCAAGTATTTCAATTTACGTGTACAATTTTCACTAATCTCTAAATCCGTCTATGCGATGTACTGGACTAATAAACGATGGGACTAAGTAATCGGATACAGAAATTGAAGTAATGGAAAAGACGGGTCGAACCAGAACTGAATCTATTATTTCCGTTTTTTGGTTTTTCTACTTTCTAGTTGCTATTTTGCTTTTCTAATTTGTTCTCTATCAGTTGGGCAATGGTTCACTTTTCAGTAGCGTTTACTTGATACCTCAGATCAACGAATCGGATTGTCTGGGGAGAAAGGGACACACACAAAAAAAAAAAATTTTTTGGTGATTTGAAGACGAAGACTAGGTAACTTATCCAATGACGGTTGATACAACTCGCTCCTACTCAACAAATTTATGATTACAATTACTTTTCAGTTGAAAAAACCTACAATCAAATAATTTTATCACAGAGCGAGACAAAAGGCTTATAAAAGGTTCAGGGCAACGGCAAGGAAGGAATGGAAAGGGGGAATTATAATGGGTTCTGACACACACCACTATTTCAGCTTACTAGCGGTGCAGGGACAGGGAAAAAAAAAAAAAAAAAAAATACAAATATAAATAAATAATAAGTATGATATAAATAAAATAAAATGAGACTTTTAAAAGTGAAATAGGGTAAAGAGGGCTATCACATTGCAGTCATTATCGGGATATCAGTACTTCAAATAAGCCTTAAACTCTCAGTAGACGGTAAAAATCAGGGCTGAGAAAACCGACCTGTTCTTACGAAGTGCTTGGTATACACTTGTAGATGTATGTCCTTTCTGGATAAGCTTAAATCTTTATTGACGCAATCGTCAACTCTCAAAGCAGGAATCTAGACAATCTCGTGTAAGAAAAAAAAGTACTCACAAGAAGGGTCCCAATAAGAAAGTTGGAGCGAAAAGGCAAAAAAAAAAAAAAAAATGTATCAGCGAGTATGAGACTGGAAATAGTAATTTCGATATTTGTAAGAAATCGGCATTATCCTGGTGTAGAGAGGTGGGGGGACATGGAAAGAGGGAGGGAGAGAGAGAGATAATAGGATAACGTGCTACCACTGGTAGTCAACTTTCCAATTTCCAATGGTTAATCTTTACTATTTAGAAAAAAGAAGATTCTTTGAGTTCGTTGCATTGGCTTTACTCCAGGGCTCAGTAAAAGCACCTTTCATTTAATAGTACTAAAATTTTACGAGATAGGCCGTCGTGTTAGCGGACTGGAAGACACTAGAAAACGACACAGTGAAAAATTCGTCTAAACGAGTGAATTTGGCTTGTCTTTTCCATGTTATAACATTACCCACCTCTGTTATCTTTATTTTTTTTTTTCTCCTTCCCAGCGTAGTTTGTTTTGTATTCCCATTTGGTGCTAATTCTGCCTGCCTAGATAATACACAGATGTGTGCACGACGTCGTGTCCTTCTAGTAGTTGCGAGGAGGAACAAAGTCTATCTAGTGATAAAAAAAAAAAGCCAAAAAAAATATTATTATTATTAATCTATCGTATTAACAGGATCTCCGTAGGAATGTTGCCTGGCTTTCTGGGACAATAACCCATACATAATACAAACAAAACCAGTCTCCCGGCAGCAAAACAATTACGTATGACAGAGGAAAACTCACTCAATTCACGCATCACCATTCATTAATAAAATTGGTGTGTATGACAGGCTATGGCTTAGTATGCAAAAAAAGCGAAAAAGCTAAAATGTATGGCACATAGCGTAGGTTGCGTAGTTGAAAGCACAGGCTTTTGTCTCAAGGCATAGCAGAGGAGGGGTGCCTGAAGGTACCATCCATCTCCATGGGGTACCTGGTACTACGGTCCAGGCTCCAGGCTCAAGGCTGCTCCAGGTCTGAGGTCCCCTTTCATGCGCAGTTAATGTCAAGTTGCCTAAATGCTAATTATAAACCACTGCCTCCTTCCCTCTGTTCCATTCTCTCCCCTCTACTTAAGAAACTGTCCCCTTCTTTTAAACTTTTGATATTTGCGGCAAAAAATGCCAATTTACCTTTCAATGTTTCGTTCTTGTCGCGAACAGATCACTACACAAGCTCACAACGCTAAGCGTTTCTCGCAACCTACATTTAGGAATTAGCTCTATTATGTTTATTTAAGGTCCGGGGGGTTTGCCGAGACTCGTTCCTCACTGCCTTGCTGCTACCTTTGACTACTTTGAGGTCCTTGCAATGGGCCTGTTTTCTTCCTTCCGAAACACCTTTCTCATCTGGAACAGAACCTCAGTCGCCCATACACTACATGGTACTTTTAGTATGTCTGGTTACTTCGTCCTAGACACCTTTCTCATCTGGACCTGAACCTCCATTATCACACATATGCTCACACATGAAAAAAATAAGTGCCATCAATGAACACTCTTACCATTGGGGTATTTAATTATTACTCCATAAGGTTAACGCCCAAGGTGAGTGAAGTTTTTTCTTTTTCAAGTGTAACGCTGAATCTAAATGATACTGGTACTACGTTGAGTTCTACTTGGGTTAATTCAATCCACATCCTCTAGTTCATAGTCATCTACTTCTCTCTTGGAATGGTTAACTTCATTCCTTTTCCTCATAACCAATTCTTCAAACCCGTTGGAACGATCAATTCCATCCCAAAACCATCCGGCGGTTATTCCAAACCTATTTGCCGGGGATATGCCCTTATCATAAGTGGGGTTTCCTGTGAGTGATATACCCAAAGACGCTGACGCTCTTCCTGATTTTTGGAATGTACTTAGTGGATCATCAAACCTATTCTCTTGCTTTAATCTCGAATTGTACTGCTGGTCATCCTTTGAGACGGTAAACGAGGTGGCATTCTCAAGATTTTCTTCTTCCTGCTTCTTTTGTATTCTACTTAGATCTGTTTCCACCAACTGCTGCCTCCTTTTCTTATCGAGCTCCTCTTGTTCAAGTTTCAGTTGCTTTAGTTCATTTCGGCTCTGGCCAATATCTATTATGCGACCAGTGCTGTCTCTATATACAGTAGTTTGTGTAGGTAATACTAAACTATCACTTGGGTCCATGTCCTTTTTCGTCTCGATTTGCTTTCCATCTATTCTTTTGAACCCCTTAAATGGTTTGCTAGCTCCTGAATTGACTCTGACTGGTTGTTCATCAGAAAGCTCCTCATCTTCATCGTCCTCAAGGTTCTTCTCATCAGGAATGCCTACGGAACCTTCGACAACTACAATTGAAGGCAGATCTTTCTTCGATTTACTCTTACTCTTCGATTTACTTTTCTTTTTCAGGCCCCCATCTAGATACTTACTCAAATAGTCCGCCTTAGACATTATAGCTAAATGTTTAGTGGTAGACCTAGAAAAATCTAAGTGTCTTGAATTGAAATATTGAAATCCCAATTTTTCATAATGCGCACCATTCAACACTAGCGCTGGTGATGGAAATGTGAACAGTGGCATGAACCAAGAGTAATCTTGGTCTGTCAATCTGGTGTCAGTGTAAAGCAGCAGGTTCGCCTTTTAGCACCTGAATGGAGCTTGTACACATTTTTTGTTGCTTAAAGGAGAATTGTATATCACTACTGAATCGACATACAGGTTACATTTCTGAGAGCTGCGATGTTGGGTGCAAATTCTACTCTAAGTCATCTTCTATTACATAAATAGCTTACATCCATATTTACCAATAATCTATAGGTTTATTACAATATCGTGATAATCATACTAAAAAAATTGCAATCAAACTTTTGAACATGTCGTTAATTTTTTACGTATCATTCTATGTGAGTCTTTCAACTTGACTGTGTAAGGTAGACATGGTGTCACATAACTCCATAAACAAGTTATATTGGCTACGGATCACATCTATTATGCTCAATAACCCACCAAACCCATCGTTACACAGTTTTTCTAAACTGGTAACCGTTTGCTCCGCCTCCAAAGCAATTGCTTCGTATTTCTTCAAAACATCATGATATTTATGGATTTTCTTGACGAAAAATTCATTCAATTGCATCGACGAGGAAAGTTTGGTTCCCGGGGTAGCCAATTGTACAATCAAATTCATTACTTTGCTCAAATCTTCAGCCAATTCATTGTTGATGGACTTGAGGTTGGCCAATTGTGTAGTATCGCTATGAAGTGCCTGCTTAGTAGATGAAATTTTAGTTCTTAAGTACCTAGTATCACTAGGTATGGATTTGATTAGCCTGTCATGTTTCTGTACATCTTCTTGGAGTGTTGTAGCTATAGTGTGTTGAGTATTTATGTAACGGTCAAAGTCCTCCAATTCTTTCTTTAATTGAGGAGGGAGGTCTCCTACTCTGGTCATTGCAGTTAGCTGTACACTGGCGTTATTATTATTGTTATTGATGTTATTTATACCATTGTTGGAGTTGTTATTATTGAAAAGTCCGCCAGCTGGAGCGTTGTTGCTGTTATTGTTGCTGTTACCAAACAATCCACCTGAAGTATTGTTAGTAGACCCTCCACCGAATAACCCCCCAGTTTGACTAGATTGCTGGCCTCCAAAGAGCCCTCCTGTAGTACCAGCTCCGGAATTATTGTTGTTCCCACCAAATAATCCTCCTGTGGTTCCAGTAGTGGCAGGTTTACTACCAAATAGTCCTCCTGTGGTGTTGCCAGGCTGCTGGTTTTGATTTCCCCCAAAGATCCCACCGCTACTGCTTCCTCCTAGTGTGTTAGTCTGTTGTTGCTGACCACCAAACAATCCGCCGGTCTGTCCTGCTGGAGCAGCTGGTTTGGTCCCGAAGAGTCCACCACTTGTTCCAGTATTATTGGTATTACCGCCAAACAACCCACCTCCAGCATTATTGCTTGTACTTGTGTTACCACCAAAAAGTCCCCCGCCTTGCTGTTGTGGCTGCAGTTGCTGCTGCTGTTGCCCAGGGACACTCAATGAGTTACTTCCTCCGAATAAACCACCAGTAGAACCAGCTGGTTTACTACCAAAAAGACCACCCGTGCTTGTGTTATTATTGTTGTTGTTCGCCGATCCACCAAAGAGACCACCACTAGTGTTACTAGAAGTATTGGCTCCAAAGGCTCCTGTTGTACTGGAGTTTGTGTTTCCTCCTCCGAACAACCCTCCAGTAGCTCCAGCAGTAGGCCCAGCTGGCTTGGCTCCAAATGTTCCACCACTAGTCTGGGCTCCTCCAAAGAGATTCGTCGAGTTTGTATTTGTATTACCACCACCTCCAAATAATCCTCCACCCGTACTGCCCGCTGCTGTCGCTGGCTTGGCTCCAAACAATCCACCGCCAGTGGTTCCTGTATTTTGATTAGATCCGAAGCCTCCACCAAACGTTGAATTGGAATTCGATCCAAACATCTCTATGTGTATTAAGTGAAAACGGGGTCAGAAATCTACCACACAGGCTAAAATAAATCAAATAACTAGCTGACTTGAGGTGATAATCCACTGCTTTCTGTTTCAATGTTTTCTTTCGATGTTTCTTCGTAGGCTTTTTTTTTTTTGCTGTGCATGCCTTCACGTGTTGTGTGCAGGTCTGAGAGTGTTGATCTTTTTTTTCGTTTGTTTGTGTTTCGTACGCTACTGAAGACCGTTGGGCTTGCTGTACGATAGGGTTCTATTCCGAGCTTATATGCATATATGTCTTCAATTGAACTGCTAAACCAATTGTATCATAGCATAATATCGCAGATTGGTACATTGGAATCAAAAAATGAAGACCTCGAGGTGCGATTGAAAGTTCAGGCAGACCAATTCACGAGACAGATTGAAGGCTTGCAGCGTGAATTGAAATTTAAGGATGAAGAAATAAGGAGATTAGAGAATGGTTCTGCATGTGTGAAGCTAGGACCTCCACCCAGATTGCCCTTTACGCCGGTATCTTCTAGAAAATCTCCAGCTAAACGAAGGAAGATTGTAATTAAGCAAGAGCGTAGCGATGAGGAAGATATGGTGACAAGACGCGAATCTAATCTTGAAAGTCCACAACTGGGGCAGCCAGATCGGAGTCTACACATGGCACAGGAGCATACAAGCCTGGATAGCGCAGATCGGAGTTTACACGTAGAGCAGGTGCCAAATCTGGATGAGTCAGATGGGTACTTACACGTAGAACAGGAAGTGTTGCCATTATCCGGCCAGAATCAGCATCTGCGCATGAAGGACCAACGAAAGGAGCTGCTGCTTCTTCCCTCCGACAGCCCTATAGACAATCAGTACCAAGATGCTTCGCCCTTGGCTAGACTTTCTCCAATAAAGTCCGAATTTGACTTGGATCTAAGATTGTTACAGAAGTTGGCTTCATCACAAAATGCAGAGGATTCGGAGTTTGCAAGACTACCAACTCAATACTCGGAGCAATCAAACTCTCCGGTAAAGTCCACTCAACTTGGCCTCAACTTATCTCCTGTTAAACCTACTCAGATCAGAACAAGTCCCTATCGATCTCAGCAAAGCGATACTGTTTCTACATCAAACTGTGATGCCGATATCGAAGTTGTTGACGATTCTGATGAAGAGTATGACCTCTTGAGATCTCCCCTTGTAGATATAACGAATACCAAATCTAATTTGACTCCTCTCCAATTGAGAGACCAGAAAAGAATAGAGCTCAACTATAAGCTTCGAAATGATCCTGATTTCAAGATTTCTCTTGGCCCAGACTCTATCCATCCGGTGTATCAGCAAAGGTGGATGATTTCAGATTTCGAGCCTAACCCTAAATATGTTAAGCAAAAGCTCAAAAGGAAAGTAGGTAAGACTTGGAAAGAGCAACAAGAAATCGATAGGTTTTATAAATTGGCAGGCCCAGGAGTTCAACTCAAATTGATACAGTGGAATAATGAGGACGACAAAGAAAACTATAGCAATAAGACTAAGGCGCCCCAAATTTCACAGCTATATGACCGTTTCCCTTCCCCACCAGGCTTTAACGAGGTGGACTTCCCAACAACTCAAGAAGAGATGGAAAGGAAACTTCATAGCGAGAGAGTTCAAAGCGTAAGAATTCAAAGTAGATTGGCCGAAGCGACAAAACCAGGGTCAGGAAGTCATGTGTTTAGAGAGAAACTTTTAAATGAATATGTCAAAGCTGAAAGATTTACTACTTAAGTAACATGCATTTACAGCTTCTACTTAGTTTCACAATATATTGTATATATATATATATTTATATTACTATAACCAACCAATCTGGAAAAGTTTGAAGGATGCATCGTATTCGTCATATTAACATTTTTATCGTTTTTATCATTTTTGTTTCTACATTAGTCTATTTCTTCCACTATTCATCTTACTTTTTTATAAATTTTTGGTAACTATCAGAATTGAAGTTACCAAATTTATAATCTATATCTAATAATAATTTAATTGCATCTTGCGACTTGTAGATATATTCAGCAGGTAATTTGACCAATGAATCATTGAGTTTATTTGAGCTTGTAGTCGTTTTGAAAAATTCAGGATTCATATAGAGCATTCTTTCATTTGGTGAATAGACTTGATCGTTAGTCAAATTGTATACCCCTGGGTATCCGCTGATCGACTTAAAATTAGACTCTCTCGACATTGGTGGGTGCAATGGGAACAAGTTTTGTAATAATTCATAAGATGCTAAAGTAAATCCGAATTGAGGTGACGATCTGAAGACTCTGGCAATGGAACCCTTGAAAAATGCTCCAAAACCTTCTTCCTTCAAAATGACTCTTGCTGCATGTGCAATACCATTATACTTGGTGTCACCCTTTTTACTTTCAACTTGTAATCTAGTCTTAATAACATCAGCAGGAGTGGTAAAGAATGCAGATGGAGCACCAGCCATGGCACCTGCAACTAATAATTGCCAACTATCCAATTTATGTTTTGAATTTGGATTACTTGGATCAAAGTTGAACATGTGCTTCTTCAAGTTGGCATAAGTAGGGAAATAAATAGCTGAGAAGGGAACATCTCTAAGTAAACAAGCTGTAGCACCTTTATACAAACCCTTGATACCCAATTGTTTGATGATTCTGCCTGCGGTCAATCTCTTTAATGGAATTTCACCAGGGGCTAATTGCTTTTGAGCTTGGTTCCCTTGCATTTGTAATCTAATCTTAACAATTTCTAAGGGGTTAGTGAAGATGACTTGACATCCACCAGCACACATACCAGCTAAGATTTCCCAATTCATGGTAATCTTACCATCGTCATCGGTACCGATCTTACGAATTAAGTCATTGACAGTTAACTTGATTGCCTTTTCTGGGGCAACACCAACCAATTGAGCACCTAAACCACTGTAAAGACCCTTAATACCTTCATTAGCTACAATTTTCTTGAAACAATCAAAACTGTTCTTATAGGCAGCCTTGTGTCTTTGAGCTTGCATTCTCGTCTTCACCAAATCTATTGGATAAACTACAGTAGCACCAATACATCCAGCAATGGAACCCAAGAAAAATGAGTACAAAGAATCGAAGATGGGCCAAAGTGAAAAGTTATCATCTTGAATTGGTTGGGCTGCTGGGTGGTCAAACATATTGAACAACATTAAATCGTTATTTTCATAATTTGGATTCAAAACTGAAATCAATTCCTTTCTAGGGATTAGATCACCATTTTTGTTGATCAAATGGAAAAGTAAATCCAATTCTAAGATAGATATTGGCTTGAAGTTCGAAGATTTCAATAAATGATCGTTTAAATGGTTATACAAGTCCGATTTTTTAATCAAGATATCAGTCTTATCCTTAGAAGTAGGAGGTTGGTTAGCGATAACTTCGTTGATCAAGTCCAATTTGTTTAAAGTATTGTAAATGAACAATACGTTGGACAAGGTGAATTGATCCTTTTGGAAATATTCTGGCAAAGTGCTCAAGTTGTGCTTCAATTTAGAACTTATTTTATGGTTCAAGTTGGTGGTAAGCAAGTGGTAGAGCTCATCCTTCAGGATAAGGCCCGATTTATTAGCAGTGATTTCAAAACTTCCAATTAATTTGGCCACTGGTAAGTAATTTATTAAACTGATGAAGTCGGTGTACTCCAAGCTGCCGTATGGGTGGAAGAACTGGTTGAAATACGACCAGTTAACCTTAGCCTTCTTTTGCTGATACGTGGGGTCAATGGCCTTGTTCAATGAGTTAAGATAGTTGATACATTGTTCGTACGACACCGTTGATTTCCCTTCGGACATCAAGGTGAACAAGAGCTTGAAGTCACCATCTGGAGAAGTAATGGTACGACAAAACTTGAGCCAATCATCCTCGGTAAGATACCCCTTCTGGTTGGTATCTGCAGCAAGGTAGAGAAGTGCATATGAGCCAGAAGTGATATCCGATTTAAATGGCGCTAAAATGGACGTGAATTCCGGAAGAAGTAACTTGTCATCAGTAGAGAACTGATTGAAAAGTTCATGAGCTGCCTTATCTGACATGGTGAATGTTTTCTCCTAGTGGTAATAGCTTACGTGTATGTCGTTGAAAATTAAAAATTTAACTTTTCAGGTTTTCCGTTCGCAGCCAATGGAGTTCTCGAAAATTTGAAATCTGGAGAAGTTTCTTGGAAATGTGACAATGTGAAACAGGAAGAACAAGGATTAATTCAGCGAGGTATCTATGCGTTGAACAGTCAAGAAGCAGCTTTTTTTTGGATTTTCCATGCAATCTACAGTCTCTGGATAGGATAGCAGAAGGAAAAGAAGGTTGCTTTGTTGTGGGAAAGTTGCAATTGAATTTTGAACGAGATGACTCAAATGACTCGAAATTTTTCACTCAGGCTTTCTGTGGACGAATTTTTTTCTCTCGGGCCTAGGGAAGGTTGGAGAAATGATGGACCTATTGAATGGCCTTTCTATATGTACAAATATAAATAAATTCTAAGTAGTATACCTAGAAAATTCTATAAGCAAAAAAAAAAAAAAACTTTTATATAAACACAGTAGTGAAGAAACAGGAGCTGAAAAAGTCACCCAGGAAAAGAAAGCTGTCGTTCTTTTATTTATGTTTGAGGTGTTGTCAACGGGGTTTAATTCGGTTAGGTCACTAGTAGCCTCTGGTAGTGTCACGTTGAAAATTTTTATCCCGTATACAGGTTTGTGGAGTAAAATTTTTAGAGCCTAAACAAGACCAAATGCCGCGTTGGGAGACGCTCTTAAGAGTATGCAAGTTGGCCTATACAGGGGCAGGGAAGAGCAGTGGGTTGGTGCGTGCGGAACGAATGCAAGATCACTACCCAGCTATTCCGCCTGGTAGCTGGTATGGGGGGATATTATCAGTCTTCAGTATTGGGTGTTTAGACGGTGAGTGAAGCGAACTGAACAAGCTTGAACTCAAGCGATAGAGGGGTTTAGAGAGATACGCTGTGTTCCTTTCCTCTGAAATTGGATTTATTCCGCTATCGTATTTATTTTCTTTTTTTTTTTTTTTTTTTTTTTATTTGACTTAGGCGACTCCAGATGCTCTTAATCGAGTCGTGTGAAGTCTATTGGAAGATTGAAGAAAAGACCAAATTTTAAGTAGGATGAGATTTCTGATGTTGAAGGGTATTTCACCGGTATCATTAGATTGTAATTAGTGGCTTTTTGCTCCTCTGTAGCTACCATTCCTTGGACCACTCCCTAAAACCGTTTGGCATTGCTCCTTCTCAGCAAGAAAAAGCATCCGCTGCTTAAACGCAGAATCTCAGTGCGTATCTGGGGTCATCCGATCATCCGGCGGGGTGTCCTGCAGGTGTCAATCTTTGGCATGGAAAAAGTCGAAGAGAGTTTGTCCGCTCCGGGCTTACAATGAGTATACTAAAGACCGACTTGCAAGTTAGCGTCGATAAGCTGGAATAGCATTGAACCACATCGGAATGCGTGAGGAAACTACGATCCGGGTAGGCATGCTATATAGTAGGAAAAATAAGGATTTTCGAAAGAAAAAATTGAAAAGACGTTAGAAGAGCTGTATCAGTTCTACATGACTAAGCCTACAACTATCACCTTGCGATTACTGGGTTCAGGGCCAATGCATCGACCATTATCCACAGCACCCTTCAATCTATCCTTTGCGTCTGAACTCACTCTCGATGTGTAGATTGTCTATATATCCCAAAGGGGTCTTTGGCCTACCGAGGCTTCACATGTGATGCTCTCTAGTGTAAATATTATGCTTCTCTATTTTTTTCTTGTGCGATTTCAATGATAAGATCCTGAGAAGCGATACAACCGTTTGTGATCTTCCCAGCTTGGCGAAAGTACCTAGAGTACATAAAAACTATAGACAACAACAAAAATGAAATTGCACCACTGTTCTTGACCAAGTTGGCCTTAGATATACGGATTGTTCATTCCCCTATGGTATTCGAGTCAGAGGCACTCCAGCACCTCCCATTCTTGGCCCTGGTGCAACCGCCTGATCATCACCATTCGACTTTTCGCACATACCGAGAAAAATGGAAACTGAAAATTTAAATCCATGAAGTATTCACTACAGTACAACATAACAAAGTTATAAAACATGGCTACAGGTGCCCCAGGTAAGTCCCCATTATACACTTCTTTGCTGTGGTGTTCTGGTTCTATTCCTTTTCTCCTCTTTTTCTGCTCGCTCTCAGCTAACAATATCTAGGTGGTACGTTTTCGAGATGGACCCCAACCCCTCCAGAACGAGGCTCGTTCCCACTCGATCATGAAGGTGAATGTAAACTCCAGATGGAAAAGTATTTAAAGTGTATGAAATTCACTGCAAACCAAAATGCACCAAACTGTAGAGCATTGGCAAAGGATTACTTAAAATGCAGAATGGATAATCAATTAATGGATCAGCTGAATTGGGAATCATTGGGTTTGGTCAATTTGCCCAACTTGAAAAATGATGATAATGTCAAAAATGACGAACAAACTAAATCAAGCAGCTCTTCTACCTGAGGGACGGGAAGATGGCTTGTCTGTAAATAAGAGACCGAGAATGCGAACTGTAAATAGAATACATAGAAATTAAAAATTATATCGCATGCAATTTGGCTTATATGTAATTATAACCTATGAGCTATGAGCTATTTATTTATCATCGTCTCATAGAAAATTGGATAGTACCTACTGAGTCACCTTTTTCTACATTATTGTATTTGTCAAACTTTTGAAATTTTTATTCCTACTATCTTATCACATACAAAATACGGTACTATTGTAACCTATTCTGAAGTAGGCTTTCCTCTGCCACGTCCTCTTCCTCTGAAATTACCTCCGCGTCCTCTTCCTCTACCGGAATGTCCTCCTCTACCATTTGTTTCAGATCCGTTTTTCTTTGGAGCGTTTTCACTTACTTGGTATTGAGATGGTGCTTGCTGTGGAGCTCCTTGGAACTGTGGAGCAAATTGGGGCGGAGGCTGCATAAATTGAGGTGGTGGTGCCTGTTGATATCCTTCACTCATCACATTGGAATAAATTTGGCCATAAATTTGTTTGATTGCATTTGGATTTCTTGGTAAGTCGTCATCGACAGGTGAAGCATTTTCATCTGCACCTTTACCTCCCTTTAATAAACTTAATAACTCATTAGAAGCCTTCTTCTCCTGTTTAACATTTTCAACGGCACCTGACACGATAGCCGCTGGTTGAGCAGCACCCTTGTTGGCAGCCTTTTCAGTGTTGGTAGCCTTTTTAACAGCCTGTGGTTTCCTTTGCTGGGGTCTTTGTTGGGGCTTGTCTTTAGAGGCCTTACTATGGTAAACCAATTGCTTCAAGGTAATATTCAATACCAAGCTAGAGTCAACTACCATACCTCTAGTGGTCTTCAATCTACCATTCATAGTGTTACCACTCAACAATGGTAAATCAAAAACTACCAGTAAACTAACTTTGGTACCAAAGCTGGTGATTCCAACAACGGTACCTTTACTCAAGTAAGGTACCTTACCCGAAGCTTGAACATAGATGACTCTATCTCCTAACTCAAACCTTTGGGTACTCAATAATTGATAAGATTCACTAGGGTTAATCACTGCATCTCTTGGAACTCCTCTAATATCCTTGTTACTGAACTGCAAAGGTTGCTGAGCATACGAAATCATATAGTTTTCAATAGCTTCAACTGAAAATTTGGTCAATGAGTCCAGTTCTAACGAGACCGTAATCAACTGACTTCTTAATTCCTTTAACCATTTACGAAGTTCAGTCAACTCCTCTTCGGATTTGAAAAGCTCAGTCCATTTAGGAATTGCTTTAAAGTCTTTCAATTGAATAAGTTTTTGAAAGACAGAGCTAAATTTAGTCCTATAATCGTTAATTAATTTAATGGCCAATGGACTGAATTCCCAAATCTTAGAGTTCACATTTTGTTTTCTAGTGAATCCCAAAACCTTTTGCTTTCTTCCCTCAAATTTCAATTCTAGGCCAATGTTCATTCTCTTACCACCCTTATCTTCAATAGTAAATGTAGATGTTAATTTAGAAAGTAACAATGGATTTAATTTCAATCTTTTGGAAACTTCAAAAGATGGGAGATACACTATCTCTCTACTCTCAACGTAGTACCTTTCTTTACCGATATTTGGTTCACTTGTAGCTTGAATTTTGGAAATCTTCACATTTAATTTGTCTTGGCCAGTAAATCCAACTGCTGTGGCTGGAGTACCGTAGGCAAACGCACCAAGGAAAACAACCTGAGAATCTAATGGAAATTCTTCTTCAATTGGTAAAGGTGCTCTTGCAATAAATCTTGGATCTTTGTTAACGACATCCTCGATAATCAATTGTAAAGGAACCGTAATTGTATCCTTGGAAAATGTTTTAACCTTGGCACCATTTGAATTACGGAACAATCCAGAAACAGGTTTTAAAGTGACTAAAGCCTCAATATTTCCAACATTAACACCTTTTGTCTTTAAATAAGAAGACTTAATGCTATTTCTGGTTTGATTGAATTGCTTAAGCTCATCAACATCCAACGGAGTCGCGGTTACCTTTTTATTTCCTTGCGTTTTAATAATCTCCCACTTGAATTCTCCATCGCTAACACTGATAACTTTCAGTTCAGCTAAAAATGGCCACTTTGCATAGACCAATCTATCCAATTGCTTTCTACTAAATTGTTCGACAGTTAAATCTGTGTACCTGTTTTGAACGCTTAAAACCATAGATTCTGATCTAGATGGTTGTTGGAAAACCAAGGTTTCGTTTAACCTTAATTTGTAGTCAAAGTCTAAAGTATGAAGAGTTGGGAAACCAGCCAATGCCTCTTTACCTAACAAAACTCCTGTTGGTAAGGTACCCAGCAGGTTTTCACCCCTTGCAGGTAAAATAAAGGTTTCTTCAATACATTTATCATGCTCTAAATCATGGAAAAATCCAGGTAACGGACTTGGATATACATAATCTACTTGTGGATTGAGCATGAAAAGTATATCTTTACCGAATGAATTTCTCTTGGTCTCAAACGCTTCTAATTTTTGTTCAACAGGTTTTAAAGTTTCAATCAATCTCTTCTCGTCAACGAAACTTAACAAGACGACAGCTTCCCAACTTGCGGTCTTACCGTTCATGTCTATATCAACTTCATTTGGATAAAAATCTATAATTGGAGATTGTGGTTCGGTCATAAGTGGTCTATAGACTAACGGCATTAAATTTCTTGATCTAGCTGGTAACACAGCCATTAATTGTTCGAAAGGCTTGAATGGGTGACTTAACTCAAAGTTGATCAGCTCTTGGTGCTCTAACATGTAATTTAATCCGATGGCAATGTCAGAAATTCTAGGTGAGTAGTGGAATTTATAATACCAATTCCAAGAAGGACATCCTTTATAATAATAATACAATACCCATTGTAAACCTTCCAAATAATGTTTGGTGAACTCAACCATCTTATCTTCATCCTTGATCAGGAAATGAAGTTTTTCCTTATAATATTTATCTTTCCATGCCATAAACTTAGCATCATAAATATTTTTCAGTTCAGCTAATACCTCCTCGGTTTCGATAAGATTGGCTGATTGATATTTCTTGATTACCTTTCTAGTTTCGGCAATTCTATTGTTAAATTCTTCTTCGGTTTCATAAGGAGAAACCCCATCGATATCTAATCTGGCTTCGTAAGTATCCTTAGACTGAGAATGAACAATAATAAGTCCAACTTCCAATGCAAATTGACGCAAAAATGCTAAGTTCTTGACAAGTTCTCCATTATTTGAAGGTAATTTCAAACCCTTCAATTCGCCTCCATTGCTCTCTACTTCCTCTAATAATGAAGTTATTGGTCTATTCACTTGTTCTAATAACCAGTTTTTGATGAATCCAATTAGTTTTTTTTGATCTTTCAAGATCAAAAGCTTACCAAATCTTTCTCTCTTCTTTTCACCAGTAATGGAAATGTCTTCTAATTTTTTGTTAAACCATTCGACATCAACGTCGGCCTTTTCGAAATTTTCCAATTCAAACTCACTTAAATAAGTCAACCATACGCTTAACCTTTTCAAATTTATGGTACCTTCCTCATTCAAGTAGCCATCACTTGCCTTTAAGTATTGTTTGAAGGTCTCAATCAAAAGTGGGAAAGCACCCTTGTTTATGAATAAATCTGGTAAGTTAGGTAAGAAATCATTCCCAATGACGTACATAATTAAAATAAAATCATCCAAAACTTTTTCGAAATCAAATTCAAAATTCAATTCGTTTTCTAAATCTTGGAATTCTAGTTCCAAGTATTCCCTAAGCAATGACAAGTGCAAAAGGAAAAACTTTTGGTCAGATACTGACCCGGACTGCGATCCAGTCTGTCTTTTTGGTCCAAAGGTAACTTCCTCTCTTAAAAGTGCAAAATGTGGGTCGTGACTTACTAAACCCAACATAATTAAATCAGCATCTAACCCGTATATACAGTGTCTTGTGTTTGGATTGTAATTATTTTGAGATTTCATTGTTCTTATGAAATCCATAATCTTATGTTCACCTTCACCTGGGACTTCATGTCCTGATAAGATGATCTGTACACCATTCCAGGATTTGTCTTCGGAGATCTTTTTATGAATAAAGTACTTCAAGTTGTCGGTCAATTTTGCCATGAACTCAGTCCCTGGAGTGATAGCATTGGAGTCAAATGGATCCTCCTTGGGGATTTCTTGGCCCTGTTGAATGGCCTTAGCTAAGTTTTCTTCGGCCTCAATTGCAGTTCTAAATCTTCTAGCTCTTTGTTGATTCATCTTAGCTCTTGGTGCAACACCATCGATAGCCATATAAAATGTCTTTTGAGGTTTAATTATTTGAAACAAATGCTCAATGTACGTGAAAATTGCAGCATACATTTGATCGTCAGTCATTCTGTTTATGGAACTGTCGTTGGAGTGTGTAGCAGTGTGGAGAATAGAATTCATATCAAGGTATAAATTATCGAATTCAGGCGTGCTTCCACCTTCAGCACCTCCTTCGACTACTGGTGTCGATATCAAGGGCCACCTTTCCGAAATAAATCTAAAGAATTTTGGGATACCTGAATGTTAGTGGTCTTGTTGTGGGAAGAAAGAAGAAGGAGAGGATGGATTAAAAGAAAGAATGCAAATCACTAATCGAAAGTTCAAATTAAAAGTCAGGAAGAAGAGCAGTATGATCTCACTGTATCTAATACCATAACTACTCAATTCAAAGATGATCGTCACAAAAGGAGATCCACAATCTGATTTTTTCAATATTAAAGGCCCAAAATCATGCTAGGTGGAGGTATTCCTCGATCGCATTCAGGAGCAACTCATTAATCTTTCATATTGCTACGTTCGGAAAGCCCCACTCGAGTCGAACTGTACCCTTGGCGTGAAATCCATCTGCTTTTACATACCCATGGTTAAGTACTTGGTTTATTGTATTGTATGTGGCTACTTGAAGGTGAACCAAAAGGCTTTTCACTTTTTTTTCGATTCAGCTATACCTCCATATTCGCCGTCTGCATATAAGAAATGGCCTGCATATAGAACTATAAGATGTGCCTCAGACTTACAAAGTAAGCACCTTCAGGTTGCACAATAGTATAAAAATAATAATAATAATATGATATAATATAATATAATAGTATAATAATAATAAAATTAAGAAACAATAACAAACCTACCTATATATAATTAAACTAAAGCATATGGGACGAAAACTACGTTAAAGCAATCTATCTCATTTAAACAAAATCCACAAAAAAAATTTACTAGCACTTCCTATTATTCTTAAACCAAGGCTGAACAAAAAAGAAGTAGAGAAAAGGGAAGGCTTCTTCATTATTTTCCCTTCTTTCATCTTTATTTCCCTTTCTTTCCTCTTTCTTCTTTCTTCGTGTTCTCTCTTCTTGTAGAGCGTCTAGAAAAGTGTCTGCTATCCTTCATTCCATCTACCAATCTCTCCCTCTCTTCCTCACACTCTCACTCTTACCCTTAGACCCAAGCGTATTCCTGTATATAAATGACCTATTCCCAACCTAACCAACTTAAAATAAAACTCAATGTGAGAGAACTTTAACCTTGAACACCGCCAAATTGCCCTATAGCAATGTCGCATTTCATATCATAGAAAATGCCGCCTTATTGATCCTCTTCCCTTGAAGTGCAGCATCTTTGAGAAACACTCTGATTAGTCCTTGGTCGTCTTCAACGATGCCTTGAACATAATCCTTACACGCCGTGAGCTTTGTGTAACAAGCACTTGCAAATTTCAAACCTTGTTGAGAAGTTTTCACTGATTGTTTCCAAAACACATTGCCCCAAGTCTGAGATTGAACCGTTAATTCAGTGCCCAATACCTTAGAATGTTTTGTAAATTCAGTCAAATACGTGCTGCACACTCTTTGAACGTAGTTGCCGTACAATTTTGAGTACTTTCCAAGTTTATTTCCCCAGTAAATTGAATGTGTTTGAAGTAATTTCCCAACTAAGACGGAGTCTTCAGTAAACTGCTTTCCGAATTTGATTGAGTGCCTATGTAAAAATTTCACAATGGTGATGGAATTGGATCTCAACTGCAGCTCAAAATCAATGGACTTTCTGGAGAATTTCTTACTGTGTTGAACAATGGATTTCCCGATATCCAGAAACTGTTCATCGAGGTGCTCTTGGAGTCGTTGGAAATACTCCTTGTCGTAATCCTTGAGAAATTTATCTGAAAGCTTGTATAAGCCATTGCTCAGAGTTTCATAAATTGCGACCGCAGACTTATCCAACGACTGGAAAAATCTGTCCACGTCCTCCTTGAGATTAGAATAAAGACGAACTGATGAGGATGGGGGTGGGGGAGGAGTTTGGCCTTTACCGAACCATAAATACGAGAGTACACCAGATGGAGGAGGTGGTGCTGGTACCGGTGCTGGACTCCCCTTCCACACTTGGCTCCAAAATGCTGTGAATGGCAGCAGGGTTTCTGGATTAGATGTGACTGGAGGGGGTGACCATGCTGTTGACACCTTCGATACCACCGATATAAAAAGTAAGGAGCTCAAGTAAACCAGAGCAAATGTTCCGACGATAATAGTGAACAAGCTGAAGAAGAAAATAATATTCTTCCCAGTTTGCGAATTATTGAGCTCTGCGAGAGCCTGATCTACTCTTTGCTTGAAATGGTCAGCGTTGTCTACGTCTCCAGGGATCTCAGTTGTTAAAACTGGTTCTGGGGTCAGAACTGAAGAGGAATCTGTGTCTGCGTGTTCCTCGTCAATCTCCTTTACGTTTTCCTTGCTGCTGAAGTGCTTTTTGAAGCTCGAAGTGAGTCCGCTTCTGAATTCTTTGGCAATGGTTTCGTAGTACTCAATGGTACTTTGAATTCTTGAGGAGGATGGCACTGAAGCACTGGTCAAGGCACTTGAAGAATCCGTGGAAGAACCAGATGACTGAGTGTTCACAGGAACGAGTAAGTTTGCTGCTGTGGTATCCAAGCTTTCGGTGCCTTTCTCTTCATCTCCCTCTGTAACCTCTGTGACAGTATTATCAGCGGTGACATCTTCCCCCCTAATTGCCCCCCTCTTCACAGTCAACACACTGGACCCTGAATCACTTCTTCCCTTAGGAGAAGATCCAGATTCCAACACTGGGATCTTCAATGTGGCTATACTCGAAACATTGTTGGAATCGGAGGCCGGTAAGTCATCATTTTGGCTATCAATCGTTGCCTGATCTTCATCAAGATCGCTCAGAGAGGAGATGATAGACCAATCTTCTTCAGAGCTCATTGTTTTCTTAATTTGTGTATATTATTCTGTTTAGGCTCTGATGCGCTCAATGCCTTTACTGTTGACTTTCTTCTTTACTGCTATTCACTGCTGTTTAACGTGTATTGTATACCTACTGTGTTCAATTGGTGTTTGTATAACGAAACTCCGCAATTGCCTTCATCCCCTAGGGAAAAAAAATAAAAAGATCCAAATAAAAAAAAAAAAAATGTGCGTGCGCGATAAGCTGATTTTGTGATCGGTGGCTTCCTGAAACCTCCATGAAACTGGCCCCTCCCTTAAATATAGAGAGAGAAGAACTGAGGTTAAGTGTACGTTGGGTTTCGAAGTTATTGTTTTGTGTTTGTGTTTTGCTTATGTTAGTTTCGATGAGATAGGTAAGATAAAGTTCTTAGTGTGCCAATTCTAACATACTGATGAATATAGGTGTGTTTATTGTTACTTCTTGGAAAGTTCTGTACTGTCCCGATAAGGATTTCTCCTACTTATTTTTACCCCGTGGAAGTGATCTTCGCAGTAGCGTGACGCATTCTGTTGGTTATAGTGGGAAATTTTTGTCAGTAGAGTGCATTGGCCTAAAGCGGCACGCAAACTGCCTGGCATTTGATTTCAGTAAAATAGTTTAGTATAATTTAGTTTAGCTCTAATGTCTGCCGATTTTCACTTGGTAGCTGGCGTTGAAGTATATCTTAGACAACAGCAGATTTACTGATTTAAACAGGTGGGAATAGTAGTTCTCTTGCACTGGTCCTTTGCTCTAGTTGGTGACAGGTATTTTTGCTTTTGGCGGTTATGCACTAGAAGCAATGCAGGTGCCGAATCAACGCTGGTAAATATGCACGATTTTACATTCGCTATACGGACCGCTACATCTCATTGAATACTCTGATTACTATTCTTTGTACCATAATGGTTCACCGTGTCCCTGATGCTGGGATGTTACTGTATTCTTCGTGCTGCAGCTTTTAACCTGTATTTTTGAACTGTAGTGGTTCTAAACCTACACCTTGTGCTGGAGTACTCAATTTATAGACTAAGTTCGTCTCCCATTACCGACTCCCTACATCAAAAGCCTCATTGTAAATCAAAATTATGATACAATACTTACAATTTTAAAGTTTTGTCTTTAATTAAACATATCTCTATTGTTATATATTTTACTTAAATGTGTCCATTCCCATACCATCAAATTCCTATTGATATTGGTTTCTCTCTTTTTACTAGTTTTTCTTTTTCTATTTTCGATATTTTCTAATTGAAAACACAATAATTAGCTGATATTGCTGTTTTCTGCTGATCCCTCTTCTAAATGCTTAAGTCTAGAATGCATTTTACTTAAACTATCCTGCAAAGAGTTCGTATAGGTAACCAAATCTTGATACTTCTCCATTGTAACATAATCCCTCTCTCCATGCATATAGGGTCCAGGAGGAGGCAAATGTGGTATAATTTTTGGTAGCACATTTTTCAGCAGTGTATCACCGAGAACTTCAGACTTGGATGGATACTGGTGTTGTAGGGGTTGATTCCGGAAATACTGGCGGCCCGGAGAATGTTTCTGCTCATACATTTGGTGTCGATTATAGTATTGGTTAATCCGTTGCTGTTCACGTTCTTCTTGTTCTCTTTCTTCCATTTCGAGTCTCTGGTTTCCAGGTTCTCTGTGGTCATTCCGCTCTGACTGCTCTTGCTGTTGACGTTGATGTTCGGCTTGGTTCTTCGCTTCTTGCTGCTCCAACTCGCGACGTTGCTCATTACGATGTTCAATTTCCTCATAATGAACCCGCTGCTGTTCAAGTCTCATCCTAAAGTCCTTACGTTCTTTTTCTGCACCAAACCAACCCTGATTCGAATAGTCTCCAAATTTCTTCTCGTCGTCATTCTGTTCACCTCTATTTCTATTCGTAGTAGTAGTTGTCGTAGTCGTGGTGGTGGTAGTTGTATTATATGCGGGAGAAAGGGGATGCTCAAGTAATTTGTTTGCTGGATTAGTTTCAGAAGCGCCCGATGATGATGACCTATTACCTAAAAACTGCAGTCCTCCTACCATTGCCATACTAGGTACGATCAGTTTCGAAACATGCTGACTCTGTTGAGCATATTGAAAAGCTTTCCAACGATTCAAATCATAATTCTCTTGACTAATTTCTGAAATATTTCGAGAGCCAGAATTGGCACTGGCAATCGACAGTGATACTCCAGAGTTCTTCCCTCCGTAAGCACTGTAGCCTCCGTCGCTGCTTGAAAGTGGTTCTACGCTTTCTCCATCTCTAGAATCAAATTGCTTTGAGCCCTGAGGAGAAAGCGATGAGGATGAGTCTTTCTCCGTCTCCCTAGATAGCATTGCACCAGTTTTTCCAGAACATGCGTTGGTGGAGTTTTGGTGCCTTGTCAAAGCATCAGGTCTGGCAAACTGTCGATTACATTTATCACATTTGAACGGCTTTTCACCTGTATGCAATTTTTCGTGTCTCTTCAAGTCATGGATTCTCCTGAATTTGAGATTACAGGCTGAACAGATAAATGGTTTAACTGAAGAATGGATTAACTCATGGGATACCATATTGTGCTTACGAGTGAAGCCTTGGTCACAAACTTTACAGACATACAACTTCTTCTTGGACTTTCCTTCTGTAGAGTGTTCGGAGTCTGCATTGTCTGTGAACAGATGCTCATTCAACTTCTTTCTTTTCGGTTCCGAGTCCGATGTCGAACCCGAACTTGATCGTTTTGTATCCGAATCTGTTTTATCTGAATATGAAGTAATTTTCAAATCTTCTATACCTGACATTAGCCTCTATCAACTGCTTTCTAAGTTTACTATATTTCTGATTGTGAATGAAAAAAATTTGAAAAAACCTAGTTTTTCCAAGGTTATTACCATATGGTTTGCAAGTGGGTTAGAGATAGGCGATACTTAAGGGTATCTGTGGAGTGTGGGTTTAAATCCTGGGGAGCGTCGCCAGATTGGTTTTCTTTTCAATTCTTTTTCTCTTGTGAGATAAAGTAGCGCCCGTCTATGAACTAGTTATGGTATTAGACTGATAAATAAATGAAGAATATTAGTATACCTATCTTTCTTAGGGAAGAGAAAAGAGTTATGAATGTTTATTGGAGCATCTAAAATATTTAGAAGCATGGAAGCATGATTTTGGTCAGCGGTAGATGCACGCACGCAGGAAGCAATTAAAATAGAGTTGCAATAAGACGGACGGATGATGGAAAATGATGGAAAGTGGACTAAAACTGAAGAGCAAATGGACTAAAAGTGGACGGGATGTGGACTAGAGGGAGTATATAGGGTGTGAGAAGCAAGATATATGAAGTTTGGTACCTTAGATGAGTATATGGGGTTCAGGTGCCATTGATTATTCTGGAACAAGCCGCCTGAAAATTGGGAGCGAATTCAAACTTTTCTGAGGCAGGAGAAGCGAAAAATTAAAGAAATAGCAAACAATGACGTAGTGGGCTCTGTGGCAAACTTAAAAATCTTGAGTGTACATATTCTTAGTCATGATTGGCAATTTAATTGCTCCAGAAATCGGTTAGCCTTACATGTAGACGATCCTCGATGTATTGGTTAGGATGCTTTGGACTGCTGTCTGCATTGTGCATCTTAGTCTAGATAAAGACGTTGAGAATAAACCTGAGAAAAACTAAGGAGGAAAATATGAAAGAGGAGAGAAGAGGTTGGAGTAAAACAACTAATGATATTGAAACCTCTCGCTCTGCTGTGATCACTTTTTACAGTAAAGCTGTAAGAAACAAAGGAAGTAATTTATATGGATCGTGATGGTGGAAAAAATGGACAGTTAGTAGTTCGTAGTACTTAATAGTTATTCACAAGGTAGCGCATTGGACCCATGCAGTTTTCGCGGACAGGGCCATACAGCAAAAAAAAGAAAAAAAAAAAAAGAATACGCAACAAGCAATTCAAGAATCACCCGCAGCAAGAGTACCTAAGAGAGGAGAGAAGAGAGTATAAGTACAGTGTTATCAGCGTCATATTCGCTGAGTTAATAATTTCTGGTCGGAGTTGCAGTGTCAGTAGACTGGCATTAACGGGTCCAACCCTGTAAAGTGTGGACACTCGTGTGCTGCTGCTCATGGTAGCTAGCTTGCTCTAGGGTCGCTCGCTCTGGGGTCCCTTCTTCTTTCCGGCCGCATCTCTGAAATAATCTGCGCACGCGGAGTTCCCTTAAGAACATTCGTAAATCCTTTTCCCATCTCAAAATACAGCACGCTGAAGTGTGAGTAGAGTAACCTAAACGGGTTTAATCCTGTGAGGTGTGGACACCTGTGTGCTGCTGCTCATGTTAATTAGCTTGCTCTAGGGTCGCTCGCTCTAGGGTCCCTTCTTCTTTCCTGCCGCATCTCTGGAATAATCTTCGCACGCGGAGTTCCTTTAATAACATTCGTAAATCCTTTTCCCCATCTCAGAACACAGCAATTAGCACCATAAATGCATACCTACTAAAACACAGCACAAAATACATCAAGAACTCCGGCGGCGTCATTTTTTCATTTCCGTTCCGTTCCCAAACATCTCCTATGGCACTCACCAACCCATTCATTTCATTTCCCCTGTTCTATACTCTTCTCTCAGTTTAGACTTTCCTTGTTTTCCGTTCCCGTTTACTATGGGTGTACCATGTATTTGCGGGCTTTTCTTTATTTTCCTTTATCTTTACTGTGGACACTCCTCCCGCCTATATGTGGTTCTTTTGTGTAACCTAACTCTATTATAGATTATGCACACCTGAGCATGCACCTAATGTAGATGTCATTCTGGGTGCGTGCACGCCCCACTATCCAGTCAGCTTTGCAAATTAATTTCGCTGTGAATTTGAAATTCTCCACCCTAGGAGTAGCATTGAAGTAGAAGTAGAATAAAGAAAGAAGCCAGAAAGAAGCGATAGATTGTGGGTGTCGAGACTGATACAGATATAAAGCACAACAGAAGCATATAAATATATATTTATATATATAATAGTGTATATATATCTATATATATATATATATATATACATCTATATATGTTCATGTTTATGTACTGATATTTGTTTCCGATTAAATTAAAAATATAAACATATCAGATAGGTAATATATATTGCCATATTATATACAAGATATTACCCTGAAAGGTAGTATATTTGATATCATAGAAGACTGGCACTCTATTGGGATCATTATCTGGGTGGTTTCCACTTCAAGTACCAAGAGTCTTATTGATCGTTTGCTTTCAATTCTTTCCCTTGTTCTTCTATAAAGTATTGCGGGCTACCGGTTGGTCTTAAGTTTGTTCTCTACAGGTTAGAGAGAGAGGACGGAAAAGAAAAAAAGTAAAAAGACATTATCCACATGTCCCTAATATCCAATAGAAAGAGACCTAGAGGGTTTTCCGAATCGTTCGCTAAGCAAGACGCAACCACCCCTACTCGCACTCATGCTGAAACAGCATCGCTCCACAGCAGCCAACACCACTTGCTTGGGCTTGAATTCGACTCAAATATACTGTCGTCTTCGTCATCATCTTCTTCATCGGCTTCCGATAGGAAAATCACGTCGATAAACTTCAATGATAGCATTGTTATTGAAGATTCCGAGTCCTCCTCCGATGAGCACAGGATCCTTGAAGACGCCAATGGGGAGGTGGTTGATGATGATGACGATGACGATGACGTTATAATCTTAGAAGAACGTAACATTGTCGGGTCATCTCATCGCTCCGATTCGATTGTGTTTCTCAATAATGATGAAGAAGAGTCTGCTTACAATATGTTCAACGTTCACAACGTGAATGCTAACGCAAACTACAATTACTCTTCAATAAAGAAACAGAGGACGTCGTCATTGCCTCAATTGCCGCAAGTTCGCTGCTTTTACAACAGAATTCTTCCCCATGTGGTCCAAAAAGTACCCAAATTGGGTAATATTAGACCTCCGGTGATCCCATGTACTGAAAGGGATGGAATAAGTGGTAGAAACGGCAGTATAAGTTCCATTGGAAGCAATGGTATAGTGGACACTCTCCCCACGTGTGATGACAAAGAGGGACACTTCATCATAAATATTGGGGAACTGTTTGCAGATGGACGATTCTTAATAGTTAGGTTATTGGGCCAGGGAACTTTTGGTAAAGTCATAGAGTGTATTGACAGGTATAATAACGAAAAAGTTGCCATCAAAATTATAAGAAACATCCCCAAATATAGAGACGCAGCCAAAATTGAATTAAGAATCTTATCTACTTTGAAAAAATTCGATAATGATAACTTAAATCATTGCATCCACTTGAAGGAGTGCTTCGATTATAGAGGTCACATATGTATTGTCACAGATTTACTCAAAATCTCGTTGTACGACTTCTTGGAGAAAAACAAGTTCATATCATTTCCAGGACTGCACATTCAAGCTATCCTGAAGCAATTGATTAGATCGATAACATTTTTACATGACTTAAATCTAATTCACACAGACTTGAAGCCGGAGAACATTCTCTTGTATGATGATTCCTTCAACAAGAAATCTTTGATTAGTCACACGATCAGATCGTCATATGCACAATTAAAGAAGAACAAAATTAAGAAGTTCCCTAAGTTTTTGAAAGTGCTAAATGACCCTTCTATCCAAATCATTGATTTTGGATCTGCAATCTTCAACGATGAATATCACTCCAGCATTGTAAGTACTCGCCATTATAGAGCTCCAGAAATTATCTTGGGTACTGGTTGGTCCTTCCCTTGTGATTTGTGGTCCATAGGTTGTATATTGGTCGAGTTGATAATTGGAGAACCACTCTTTAAGACTCACGACAACATCGAACATTTGGCTATGATTGAAAAAATATGTGGCTATCAGATCGATACAGAAATGGTTGAATTGCTGAAATCATTCCAAAACGAATGTGGTGTGAAGTACTTCGATCTGGACTTTGAATTGGAATTCTACGATAACGTTGACACGCCAAGTAAGTTTTTAGATTCAGTGGATAAATTGGATCGAATAGATTTGTTTATCAGTTGCAAATTGGGCTTATCGATAGATTTCGACTACTCTTTAAATGAAAATTATGAGAAGAACAAACATTTGATCAATTTCGGGAACTTTACATTTTGGTGGTTTCTTATCGATTTGTTAAGAAAATTGTTTGTGATTAATCCAGCAAAGAGAATGAGTGCCTGGGATGCGTTACAACATCCTTGGTTTAACTTGGGAATAGATGATGAAGGAACTACTGATTAGTTACGAGAGGGAGGTTTCACAAATAGAGTCCAATACTCTTGGTAAATACGAGATGTCTTAAAGAAATTATACAGCTTGAAAGAAAGTAGTGTTTTTCATATAATTACACCCTTTTAAAGCTAATGATTTAATCCTCGAAGAAAACTTGTGAGAAGAATGACCTACCACCTTCTTTAGTTAACGAATATGCTGCATGTACATATTTTTCAGTATCACCAAGTGGTGTTGTCAAGGGAATTCCTAACTGGGAAGCAGAAGTTATATGAACTGGTTCTTAGTTAATCCTGAGACTCGATCCCATTCGAATAGGGCCGCTCCCCCTAAACCGTTGCAGCTCGCATATCGATGTGGATTTCTTTTTTATTTCTTTTTATGCCTGGTGATATTTTGCTTGAAGGCACTTTTATGGACCATTTCCAGATACCATTTTTATATATAAATTTTTCAGTTCTTTGCAAAAAAAAATTAGTTTATTATGGCTTCGATGAGCCCTTTTTTATATTATGTTTGGGAAACATGTTTTACTGTTTTTATATAGGTACAACTAACAGAGTTAGTTAAAGTGAAATATTAATGTAGGCTTCTACTCTTGGGCTAAGCAGTTACCCGAAATTTGTCTTAGATTGCAATTATTTTTTGGGCATCACTTTTACCGCCGTTATTATTTAGCATCTTTCTCTATGACGTGCACATTACCGCATATTGTTAAATTGAATACATGCATAAGCAGAGGGCATTAGAGATCTTACCTGCTCGTTGTCGTGGTTATAATGGGGTTATGATCTGAGGTGGTCTAGACTTACAGGAATGGAAAGCTATAGGCGGAAAGTTACTGTAGCAGGAGATGGTTCCAAGATGTTCACTTGGAGTGAGGAAGATTCACGAAGTGTTGAAAATGAAAAAAAAAAAAAAAATTTTTTGAAAAAGATATGGAACATTAGGGGAAGTGTGAGAGCCCACAGTGCATCAGTGTTGGCGATCTAGACCCACATTAATTACGATTGGGAGATTACCATAAACAGATAAGATACTAGGCTCCGTCCATCCCAAGTCCCTACTAACAGTGGCCGATATCTAGGTTAACCTGGTTAGTCTTACTACAGCTTGAACTTGAATTTACAGAGGCTAAAACCTAATCTAGAAATTTTACTCTTTGACAATCTCCCCTATAACTGCAGTTGATTCGCTAACGCTCAAATAGGGTTCCCGCATAGCTCTTACAGGTAAAAATTTTCACCTTTTGGTAACATACTGAAGTTTAATTCATGACCTTACACATATGTGTCTCATTTCTGTTTCTTAATCCGCACAATTCTACCAATAGAGACTTAAAACCAACGTATTCGAGTGAAAAAAAACTTTTTCAAATTTCTTTTTCCCTGTCTTCCTTATGTAAAATTAATGCATCCAATTAAACTCAATCCGTAGCGATGCATAATTCCGCTGCATGCATCAGAGCATATGCTACATCAAAAAGTGAAGGCTGAGAAGAAGAAAAAAAAAAAAAAAAAAGACCCAAGTCGCACAAGTCGATGGTGCTTCATCAAATCGGTTGCGATGAGTGGCCCCCCACCCCTAAGTGCAGTTTATAGAGTTGTTGCCCGTATATGTGGGTAGTAGGATGTCACGCGATCACCTTCCGTACTTCTGGACCACCCTAGCGCCCTTTCCCTATAGGAGCTTACTGTTACTGGTATATCCAGTCGAACTGCTCTAATTGGGCATGAACGTGATTTTTCAATGTACGGGCAGTAACACAGTCAACCAAATAAATTCCCATGTAGAAAGTGAAAATAAAAGGTAACAACATGGTTGCAGACAGAGAATTCATACAAAAACCGAAAAAAATAAAAAGAAAGAAAGAACGAAAGAGAGCCTTTCGAAATATAATACTACGAGAATGTGACCCTAGCGTACGGTGTGCCGGTTTGAAGCTGAATTCCTGCTTTCGGCATCATATTAGTAACACATTACTTTCTCACTCTTTTCTTTCTATTGTATCCAATTACTGATCCATTTTGGGTAGGTTACCTCCATGTGACTCCTTACATCTCCGATGTGACACAATTTTTAACGTGCAAATGAGTGTGCGAAATGAGTGTGCGAAATGAGTGCGAATGAGTGAGTGCCTAATAGCAGTAGGCAGTAGTAGCTTAGCAACAACAGCCACCAACGCGCTTCCTATTTATTAGGTGGCTGCTCTGCTTTATTCACTACTCTCCTTATTATCCCATTTCATAAACATAAACATATATGTCCCCTGTTTTTCATTTTGCCTCTTTGATCACCCATGATCAATAACCCTGTCTCATCAATCGTGCCCCAATTTCATGCTCATAATCGTTGCTAGAGTGCAACACTAATTTTCGCTCCCAGCTTATTGTCAGATTTCCATGTCCCTCGCACTTTTCACTATTGTTCAAATCTAGACTTCGCTCCCCAAATGAAATCCTCCGTGCAGTACGTCCCCTGAGTCTAGACTAATTTGGCCAAATCAGGATGGATCGTCAATATTTTCTGCATCTCGACGCACAACAGCTGCGGCTTTATTTCATTTCTGTCGAATTATATTTCTCTATATTGCACTCACGTGATCTCTTCCTCAGAGCTTGGGCAGTGCGGCCCCAAAAGGCGCTATAGCCTCTTCCACTTCTCACACTTTATGGGTTAGGAGCGCGTGAGAATAGTTTGTATTTTTTTCCAGACGCATGCGGAAAAAAGAGGACGAAAAAGAAAAAAAAAAATAACAAAAAAAAATAATAATAAAAAAAAAAATGGAAGAAAAAAATCTTCCCTCACTCGCTAACCTCGAAATTTATAAAAACGCAAGTGGCCCTCGTCTAATTTAAGTTGTAGAGAAAGGAATCTCTTGTTTCTTCTTTTTTTTGATCTTTTGTTCTTTGTATACTACCACAACTCCAACTACAGTCTTTCCTTACACACGTTCATTTAAAACGCGCCCATATTATTTGTTGTTTTTCATCTATACATTCATTATATCAGTATGAGAACCTCAGTCCTTAGTTTATTAGCAGTTGGTGCCTCCATGGCCGCTGCTGCCCCATTAGGTGGCGAACATCAACATTTACATCAACATCAAAAGAGAGATGTCCTCACTGAAATTGTGTACGTTGACGTTAACGGTGCCACTATCAGTACCTCCAGTAGTTCAACCAGTACCTCAGTGCTGTCTACCACCACCTCTACTAATGAAGAGACCACCACCACTGCTGCCTCCTCCACCCAAGCCAGCTCCAAGAGTACATCAACTTCTAGCTCATCCTCATCCTCATCTTCCAACTCCATTTCTGGTGATCTTTCTGCTTTCTCTGACCCAACCGAAGAATTCGAAGACGGTGTTCACGACTGTGACTCTGTTCCAACTGGTCAAGGTGTTATTGCAGTCACCTGGATCTCCAGCTTGAACGGTGGTTGGACCACTATCATGAACGAAGACGGTGACACCTCATCCACCTGTTCAGACGGTTACTACTGTTCTTACGCTTGTCAAGCTGGTATGTCCAAGACCCAATGGCCATCAGAACAACCATCTTCCGGTATTTCAGTCGGTGGTTTATACTGTAAGAGCGGTAAGTTGTACAAGTCTAACTCCGACTCCAAGTACTTGTGTGAATGGGGTGCTCAAACAGCCAGCTTCGTTTCCAAGTTAGATGACGATGTTGCTATCTGTAGAACTGATTACCCAGGATCCGAAAACATGAATATCCCAACTTTGTTAGAAGCTGGTTCCTCTGCTCCAGCTTCCGTTGTTGACTCCAGTAGTTACTTCACCTGGAAAGGTGGTGCTACCTCTGCTCAATACTATGTTAACAATGCTGGTGTCTCCGTTGAAGACGGTTGTATCTGGGGTACCTCCGGATCCGGTGTTGGTAACTGGGCTCCTGTTGTGTTAGGAAGTGGTGTCACTGGTGGTAAGACATACTTGTCATTGATTCCAAATCCAAACAACTCTGATGCTCCAAACTACAACATTAAGATCACTGGTACATCTGGTTCAAGCGTCAACGGTGATTGTAGTTACATCGATGGATCTTACACTGGATCTGGCTCTGATGGATGTACCGTCACTGTTTCCTCAGGAAGCGCTAACTTTGTTTTCTACTAGAGATAGTACGGAAAGAAAGTATTAAGATATAAAAAAAAAAATGAAAAAAAAAAATATCAAACGTTGTTCTATGCTAAGTAGATGAAAGTAATAGTGAAAGTACTCTTTCACTACTTTCATTTAGTAACGTCGAACCCGGTTGGTTTGTATTATTTGATACCTTTTCTTTTCTTTAGTTTGGGTTTATTTTCGGTTTGGTTTATTTGTAAGTAGAATAAAAGTATATACTACTAATATTGCTTGTAGAAGAATTGTAGAGCAGCATCAATAAAGATAAGAGTAGTGAAAAATTACTAGAAGTACTGGAATAGTGGAGAAAGCGAACAATTTGTAAAGGAAAGAGAGCACAACAAATGTCATGACGACTGTGCAGTGCTAGTAAAGATGAGAATATAGAAAACCAGTCAAGACTGTGAAATATTAGCTAAGTGGGAAAGATAAAGCAATAAAGGTGAAAAACTTCGACTACGGCTGATGAGTCAAACGAGCGAATACAGATCGTAATTTTTCTTGGTACCAGTGGTGTTGAGAATTTTTGCTCCGAGCCTAGTGCTGCTAAGAAAGGAAGGTAATCTCCAGCTGTGATGCTTCGTTTGGCTCGTAGATATGCGACTTGCAATCTCCCAACAATACCCAAAGTGCCGTTGGTATCGGAGAAGTTCACTGCTAAGAACTTCACACCAACTGACAAGAGAACAGTTCTCTTCTTGCATGGATTTTTGGGATCCAAAAAGAACTATAGAACTATAGGGAAGACGATAAGTAGAGCCACCGGTATCGATGTGATTGGGTTGGACTTGAGAAACCATGGGCATTCTAAGCATGCCCTTCCATTTGACTATCAGTCGTTAGCAAAGGATGTAGAAGAATTTATCAGACATGAACAGCTATCTGACTTGGTGATTATTGGACATCTGATGGGAGCCAAGACTGGGATGTATGTGGCATTGCAGAACCCGGATCTAGTTTCCAGTCTAGTTGTAGTGGATAACACTCCGGATTTCACTCCGTTGGACGATTCATTTAGAGACAAGTTGAAGGCATTGTACGAAATTGAACAGTTGAAGATTCCTACTGATACCAAGCAAAAGGATATACTGTCCAAGGTGGATGAAGTATTCGATAAGTATGGAATGACTTCTATAATGAGGACATTCTTGCTCAGCAATTTGGACAAACTGCATAAGTACGTGAGGTTTATAAATCCGAACTACTGCTTTCTTTCAAATAAGGTGATCGACATTCTTAGCGAGTGGCCCACTGAAGACTTAGAAGGCAAGAGATACGACGGGCCAGTGTTGGTGGTGAGAAGTACACAATCTGGTTTCATCCCAAGCTTGGAACCCTTCACCAAATACTTCCAGAATATCAAGCTTGTAGATTTTGATGCAAGTCACTACATAGTGACAGAAAAGGGGAAAGAGTTCCTAGAGGAGATATTGCAACACTTGAATTCAAATAAGAGTATAGAACCAAAATAATATACATTATATATATGTATACATATACATAAATAAATAAATGCCTGATCTGCGAATATAGAAGCACCGTCTACTCTACACAGAACTAGCCAAATGCTACCTGTAGGCAGTAACTGACAATCAACTCATTATTTGTTTTGAACAATCTGAACAAATCGTAAACCAATTCGTCTGGATTGGGTTCGAATGTGTTTTGTATGTACAAATGTACACTTTTAGTTTTGAGCTTCTTGCTGATGAACTGAGATATCACCACCATTGTTCTGTCCCCTGAGATCTTCAAAACGTTTGGGGTTATACCGGGGGTCGAGCCTATGGGTGTAAATCTCAAGGTTATCTTATCATTTGGAGGCGTAGGTGGGGTAAATTTATCTAGTATTATGGAAGTAGAGAGTGGTATAGGTGGGTATGAGGGAGGTAAACTAGGAGACAGTTCCTGGGGCGAGGGCGAGGACGAGGACGAGGACGAGGACGAACCCGATCCAGGCGCCATGATCTCCTATTCAGTAATAACGCAGAGAATACAAGTCTAAACGGAACAAATACGTAATCTGTACCTCAAGCTATACATATATTTACCGTCTATGCGCACTGGATCTGGAGTCTTACCTGCTTCTCTTCCTCCCTACAATTCCCCATCTTCTACTTCCTTTCCTGTCTATCAATTTCCACTGCCTTTGAGGCAGCGTGCATTTAAGGTTTACCGCGCATGGCTGAACCACTTCGGAAATTGGTTGGTAGAAAATTAGTCCCACACAAATCTGGAACACCTGCCTAGCGGCCCACTAGTCCATCCTAATCAGGCAAGGGGTAGATAAGCATTTGTTAGTGGGCAATTGAAGGGGGTCAAATAGCGGTGGAAAATTAAAGTTCAATGTATAAAGTTTTGACTAGCACCCTTCCTTCCCTGTACCCAATACGGCCGAGTCTGGCATACGTTCGACAGGACTGCATCTGGCCACCCACCCAAATTAGAGTTCACTATCTGTCATTTTTCCTTCAGTGTTCTGTTTCTTTCCTCCATAGCATCGTAGTCCGTTTTTCTTAATTTCGTTGTGAAAAAGCTGACAATAGTAGTTGTAGTAGTATCACAGTAATTGATATAGAAGTAAGTAAGTGGTAACTACTTTGACTTGAATTAAACAGAACTGAATTGAATTAAAGAAGAACTACAGTCATGTCAGACACTGAATCTCAGACAACTCTTGAAGACGTCTCCTTCTCCAAAATCTTGGAGATCCTTGAAGTCGCTGCAGAGGAGTCAATTGCGAACAAGGATTATCTTTCCTACTCTACCGTGCTAGACATATACTTGGGCCAACCTTCTCGCTACTCGTACCCAGAAAGAGAAGAGATTTTGGCGAAATTACTCTCAATCTTGGATGAAAACCATGTATTGACTTATGAGATCGGGTGGGACTTGCCTCACTTGATTATTCCATATATCGACCTGGATTACGATTTTGAGGGTCTGATTAGAGCTTCGCCTTGTGTTTATAAGATCATGAAGTTATTTGAAACGTTGGCTCTTCATGGTAACCCAAAGGAGTTGCTCTTGAAGGGTTGTGAATTACTTTCCACCCTAAAACTTTCAGATCTGGAATCTGTAACTTCTGATCAGTACCTTCAAGAAAAGTTCTTCAACATCAAATTGTATTGTATTATGGAACTTCTTACTCCTTGTATGCTGAATATCAAGTCCTTTTACCCATCAAGGTTCTTGTCTATGATATTCACTGCATTCATCAATATGCTAAATCAGAATCCTCCTCCAACTACCACTCTTGCTAATTTTCAGATTAAGAGAGCGTATTCTTTAGCTAGGAATTACTCTCCTCCTTTGCCAACTCCTGAGCTCGTGAAGGAGGCGCTGTCTCAGGGAATCGATTTGGACAAGGTCAATGTTGAAGAAAACGCCATCATAAGGAAGCTACTTACAAGTTTCATAACTTGTACGGTAGAAATCGTATTTAAGGACCATATTGAGGGGTATTCACTTGATCTTGTAAGCTATTTCCAGGAATCCAAGAGAGACCAGTTACAAAAATATTTTGATTTTAGAGTAACCAATGAATCTATGGATAGAGCATTTTTATTGAGTCAATCGTTTGATATTGACCCAGAGGAAAGATTTGTTGATTTTGTGAAGGAAAGTCATAAGATTTTCAAACTGGTGGACTACACTAAGGATGATGAGGACTCGCCAAGTACCAAACTATTCGAATATGTACTTGTTGACTATCAGAAGAATATTTATACTTCACTTATAAACGCAGAGAAGAAAATTGCGGATTCACAATATGGTAGTCTTATACTTTACACTCATTTCATCACCAAGTACCATAATATAAAGGAAATTGAATTCACATTTGAAGATGCAATTGCATTAACTTTGAGACTAACCATCCCTGGTATGATTCAACTGTCATTCAATAATAGGGGTGTACATGACGTTCTGGTATTCTGGTGTTGGGTTGCTATCAATGCTCTGTCTGCTAGCGAATTGGAAGAGGAGATCGCTACCAAGATACCTCCTGTTCTACTTAAGCTATTCATCCAGGCACTCTTGTTTATCGTTATATCCAGTCCTACCAATGGAAATTTCAGGTATTTGATAATGTCCTTATTGACGAGGGTTCTAAGCTTGAGTCCTGAGAATATTACTTACGACTTTTTGACTGATAGCTTGGAAAATTGTCCATACGATAATGTGCGAGTTGCCTTGGGAGGAGTGTTGAGAGAATTGATGACTAAGGATAGAGAGAATATCAGTGACAATGAGTTGGCCGCCAAACTTAGCTCGGTAAAGTTACTGACGGAGGAAAAGGTAGGCGATGAAAAGAAGGTAGGAAAAGAATCTTCAGATGCCAAAGTTGCACCACCACTTCCACGTCGTAAATACATCACGTTGACTAAGACTAGAGCTGACCAAATCCTTGACATCACATCTAAAACACATTCGCAAACCTTCAAATTCAGCCCAACTTCTGCTAATGTGGACATATCTAAACTTTCAACACTCTCCGCCTGCTTAAACCTCCTCGTGGTGATAAAGTCAAATACAAGTGTTGATCAAGAGAAGCTTACAAGTATTTTGGAGTCAGTCTTGCGCTCAATTGAAAAGGTCAAAACTTTAGAAAAGGACGACGCTGACAAAGTCAATGCTGTTGATATTTTGTCAATTGCTGTTGAGAGAATTAAAAGTAAATAGAATTTTATATATAAATGTATATATATGCCAATACAAAGAAAATATTAATTAATGTAAATTAGGGTGAATATTTATGTTTTGTTTTGTTACTTTTTGGTCTTACTCCCTGCCTTTTTACCTGTACTCAGTCTATCATCAACTAGTGGACCCCAGTAAACAAAGAAGCCTTCTTTTGTTGAGGTTATCTCCTCTTCCCATTGCAATTCTTCATCGTCTATGAACGGATCTTCATAGTCATATTTACCAACCTTTCTATTCATTTTCACTTCATGCTGCCTAACGAGTTGCTCCTCGGTAAGTTCTTCTTCTTCCTTTTTCTTTTTAGGTCCACTGCTACTCGTGCCTTCTATATTTTCCTTTTCTACAACCGCTTCCTCTTCTTCTTCGTCTGCAGCGTCCTCTTCATCGTCTATCATATCATCCATTAAATCTATTGCCGATTTTGCATTCGGGTGCATCACATTCCACCCATACTTGTCTTCAGTAAGCTTAAGAACGTTAATTACTACTTGCGACTGGCCTGGTTTTGGATTGTTTGGATCGAGTAACGGGATGTTTAATGCTATTATTGGGGGTTCCTCCTTTTTCACTTCAGCAGCTGCAGTGGCAGTATTACCATTCAATTCTATAATGGATGCTGGTGGAAGATTTACTTGTTCCTGCTTGGGATTCTTCTCCGATGTTAGGGTGGCAGTTATTGGTTCTACCTTAGGTTCTGGTACCGTGTTAGCGGCAGTGGAAGTACTTGTGGAATCTACTGTCCCTGAGGCAGATGCTGTTGGTTCTGGAGTCTGAACTGCTCCCTTATCTGAACCATTCGCAGGTGTTGCTTCCTTTTTAACTTCTTCAGTTTTCTTCTTCTTCTGAGCTGGTCCATCCGTTTGTTCCTTCTTTTTTCTGGGTGCTCTCTTCTTCTTGACTGGCGCAGGTGTAGCTGAAGCTTCTACAGAAGTACCTGGTGCTGCAGTTCCTTCTGCCACTGCACTATTAGTACCGTTCTTGTTGCTGGTGCCAGAGATCGGCTTTTCCGGGCTCAAGGTTTCCGGCCCATCGTCCACGTTGATTATACTATTGATAGATGTCTTACTCGAAGGTGTCGGGGTGGGTGCTAGTTTAAAGCTTGTCTGGAACAGTCGGATTTGATCGTTCACTCCAGATGCATTGGGTCCTGGGGTAGATGGGGTTGCACTGCCTTTATATGTTAGCGGGTTGGAGTGGAATGAAAGGCCCGGGGTTGGAGATGCAGATTGGCTCGGTTTGGGTACAAGCATTGGTAAACTTGAACCTGATTTCAAAGTCGACTGAGCTGGAGGAGACTTCTTCTTGATGGTTCTACGTTTTGGTGGACCCAAGCCTGGAGCCGGTGGACCATCATCCACTAGAATAATCTCATTCACTCCTTTCACTGTTTTCCTTTTAGTTATGTTTTCATCTTGTACTAGGATCGGACGTTGGAACGAAGGTTGTGATGGTGCTGCTGTAGCCATGAACTGCGCCCTTATGTCGGGTGTGGGTGATCTGGAACCGACAATTGTTGCACCGTTATCTACACCGCCCACTGTTAAATGCTTTGGTGATAGCTGGCTCGAGGTATTTTGCGCAGCTCTTCTATTATTGTCTTCATTAGAGTCAAGTAACGACGAAATCGTGAAATTTCTCCCGCTACTAGACATGGTTTATCGGTTTATCAGTACACTCTTTTTCGTATGTGGTTTGTGGTGTATGTGTGTAAGAAATTTGCAAAAGCAAAAAAATAACAACATCTTTCCAATTCGACTCTTTTTTTTGGCTTCGTTGTCTTACAAAAACATTCCAACTGAATGCTAATACAAAATCGTGCGAATTGAGTCGATTCGGAATATATGCCTTGCCTACAACAGCTGCGAATAATAAATTACACTCGCACTAATTAAGGAAAGGTTGAGTTGGTTGGTTTCAAATCAGCACTGCACCTAAAATTACGAGAGCTTAAAATTGCAACCGTTTGGCGCGCGCAGCAATCGCTAGGAAGAAGGTTAGGGCATACTAGGCGCATAGTGTTGAAATGGAATAGTTGAATAGAAGAGTGAGCAATTTACATATAGATACATCTCAGCAGATAACGAGAGTGAAGAGAGCAGTTTATATTATCTAAGAATAAAAATACTTATGTAAAAAGAAAAAAGAAAGTAAGGTAAATATTTCATGCTCTGTCGAGCTGAGTAACGTTGGAGTGAAGTCCCAATTTCTTCAATGTTAAGCATGTATCGCTCCCATAACCCTCTAAGCTGTTCATCAGTAAGTCCCCATTCCAATAGTCCGTATATACTTTGCACATTGGCAAACCTAAGCCAAACTTAAACTCACCCCCACGATTAACCAACGCTGAAAGGGTACTCTGTTTGTCTTCTCCTCGTGGAGAGTCTGTCTGCTTGTGTGGCTCAGTTAAGGATGAATTGTTGAGAACTTCTTCCTTATCTTTGCTCCCTCCAACTATGGAAGAACCACCAGGCGTTACCTTTAAGTTATGGTACAATTGTAAGCCTGGAATCCTATGAAAGTTCTCTAGACTATTCTTAGCAATGTTCAATGGCTTCATAAACGACCACACACCATTCAATTTATCGTGTGGTATGCCTCCACCTTGATCTGAAATCCGGAAAATCACATCTTGATTGGAGTCAATTATTGTTATCTTGATGGGTGGCATCTTTTCGCCAAATTCAACGTCTTTGTACTTATTTATGGTAGCCTCATATGAGTTTCTTAATATTTCTCCGAATAAGTAATGCAAATGGGGCACCATAAACGGGAAAGTAGAATTCAAATCTCCATCTATTTCCAACTCTGGCATTTTATTTACATCGGGGTAAATATCGACCATGGATTTCTTAATGACTCCACTTACAATTTTCAATTCTTCCGCAGCATTACATTGAGCAAATATTTCTCCAATGAAATCCGGTGGTTTAGTACTATATGGAGAAGTTTTGTAGTTGTCAGTCAACGATAAATGCTCTTCGACGATTACTCTTCTACTAATTCTTGATCTAATCATTGAACTCATGAACTGATCTAGTTCATTTTGGGGTAAATCTGTTAAAATGCTTACTTCTAATGCACCCATCATAAGATGCGGTAAGTTGAAAACATGATCATCCAATAAGGAAGATAGCGTTTCACAGAATTTGTCATTGTCATCTAGCGTGTTGATGGTGCCGATCTTACGGAAAGCGTTGAACAGATGGTAGTAACTCTCATAAATTTGGGCCAAATGGAAGTTGTTCACCACACCAAATGGTAACGTTTGTAGATCTCTAATCCGCATTGCTAACCTTATGGGCAATTCCAACCTTACAAAGTTGGCACTATGGATTATTTTCTGTTTGGTTAGAGTCTTACCGTACCCTGCAAGCTGTCTAAGTGAGACTGGATGAGGGTCTTTCCTGGAGTATTTCATTAATACTTCATTCTGGTAAAAGTGTTGCTGATTCAATATTGACAGAAACGAAGGGAATGGCCCAAGTTCGAGCAAGTGGCTCGATAATTCGGACAGGTTCAACAAGGCAAGATCTGGGTCGATTGTACTGCCACTGCCACTACTAGTGCTAATTCTCCTACAACCATGGCGTACAGTATGGTATATTGGCAGCTTTATTTTAGACATACTTTGAAACTGAAGTACCTTCTCTGAATTCAAAGGCAACTGAAATATGGGGAACTCAATGCACAAGTTCATCTTTCTCTTTCTGTATCGCTAAAAAATTACCGTAGAGTCATATTGGGTGTTGAGTACTGCATGTAAGTTGTTCCAGAGATAAGAACGACGATTTGCTACAAACCTTAAATTAGCTAGGTAAGCTAATTAACAGACAGGGAAGTGGGTAGTTTCCTAATTAGCTACAAGTTTCTAATCTGGCAGATGTTGGTCTTAACCAAGCTATTGGGAAACGAAAGTTGACAGTAATATTGAAAAATAGACTTGAAGAGAATGAAAAATAATTTAGGTCAGATTGTGCATAAACTACCCAGTACTTTGTAAATTTCACATCAATTCATTTAGTAGTTGTGAGTCATAAAACCCACCTTCTACTGCCAATTTCATTCTCCAGCCCCTCTTTCAAGCAACAGAAAGTAGAATACTAGACAAGAATGAAGCAACCACAAATATTAAAGAGCTCAGCTGGTAGGAACAACAATCCCCTCAAACCCTATTGAGGCAAATCCTATTGAGGCGAACCATCCGTACATCCAAATTACAGTATTGAAAAGTGCTGCAGACTTCAAAGCACAGAAATCAGAGATTACACGAAGTACTCTGCAATTCCACTGCCACACTTGTAATAACCTCAGTTTTTCTATCGTAAGGAGGTTTTCAAGTTTTGATGGCAAAATCCTAACCTTAACTGATATCACTATCTATGTTTCATGAAATTGCAGCATGCTACCTGTACCTCGTACATGCTGCAGGCAGGGCTGTATTTTTTCTTCCCTTATTTCCCACGAAACCTTCCGCCGAAAAAATTTGAGAAAATGGCATCTCGATGAGACTAACAGTATTCAATTCGAGAACACCATTAGTTATAAGAAGTGTGGATGTAGATTATGATTAATTGTCTTGGTTTTCAGTTCTATGCCTGAGTCATAGGTACGTTGCATACCATTTTACGAAGAAATTCGATAATGTACATAATCAAAATCCTCCTGAGCCCTTTGGAAATCTTTTGCCATCACCGTGCGCCGCAGGCACATCGAGCCGTCCCTACTATGTAAACGAAGAAGGCAAAACTTTTTTTTTTCATTTAAACGATTGCAAATTCTGAAAACATATAATTTCATCTTTAATGTGATAGCTATAGCATCGAGTTTTGATAGAAAAACAAAATCAATTGAAGATTTTGAGATAGAATATGAGTGACCAAGCATCTCTAGAAACAGGTCCTGAATTTCAGCCCCAGAAGAGGCTTCTTTCCAGATTTTTCAAAGGTGAGTATCCAATACCGACAGAAGAAGAAAGAAAGCCGTATGGGTATACACATGCAAACATTATCAGTAAAATCTTCTTTCATTGGGTTACTCCAATAATACGGGTAGGCTACTCTCGTACAATTAGGCCTGCAGATCTTTTCGTATTAACTGAAGATTTCGAGATTAGTTTCATGGTTGCAAAATTTAATGTGCAATTAGATAAAACTGTTACAAAATATAGACAGAGGCACGAGAGCAATCCTTCAAATAAGGATGTACCGTTTAAATGGCCCAAATACACACTTGTAAAAGTTGTTTTGGCTACCTTACTATATGAATTTACAAAATCTGCTGTTTTGGGATCCATAGCAATGATATTTATGTCGTTAATGCCATTGCTAACGAAGCAGCTTATACGATTTGTTGAGAGCTATTCAAATCCAGACCTGAATGAAAGCATAGGTGTTGGAATAGGATACGCAATTGGATGCAGTTTTGCTACTTTAGTAACTGGATTTTTATTTAATCATTTCACTCACGTTGGTCTAACTTTGGGTATAAAAGTAAAATCAATTTTGACTGCTGCAGTTTTAGCAAAATCGTTCAAACTTCTGCCAGCATCTAGAAGAAAACATACACTGGGTAAAATTACATCCTTGATGGGTACAGATCTTTCCAGAGTAGAGTTGGGCTGCTTCTTTCTGCCTCTTTTGATGATTTTACCAATCTCATTAGCTATTGCAATAGCCATTTTGGCGATCAATATAGGTGTTTCTACCTTGGTTGGGTTAGCCGTCTTTGGAGGCTTTCTCGTGGCAATCGGTTTTGGTACATCTAAAATGTTTAGCTATAGAACCAAAATTACCAAATTGACTGATACAAGGGTGGATATTGTCAAGGAAGTAATACATAATTTGAAAATGATCAAGTTTTACTCATGGGAGTTGCCATATTTGTCAAAAGTTATTAACGCCAGAAGTGCTGAGATTGAAGCAATTTTAAAAATCCAAGCTGTTAGAAATATCATTAATAGCTTTGCCCTTAGTTTGACAGGGATTACTGCGATGGTTTCATTTTTAGTGATGTATGCAATTAACGGAACCACAAAGGGCCCTGCAGAAATATTCTCATCTGTTTCAACCTTCGAAGTCTTGTCTGTTTTATCATTTTTATTACCAATGTGTCTATCTAGTGCAGTAGACTTAATGAATGCATTTAAGAGAATTGAAAGATACCTCTCTAGTGAAGAGATTTCAATAAGTGAGAATTATAAGACTATCAGAGATCCTCACTCAATGACTGCCATTGGAATTGAAAACGGTGAATTTTCTTGGGATTTATCAGTAATTCCTGATGATGAGGATGAAATTAAAGAAAAGAAGAAGGAAGCAGAAAAGAAAGAAAAAGAATTGAAGAAACAAGAAGTGAAGGACAAGAAAATTGATATCACTGCAGCTTCTGTTGATAAAGAGATTGTTCCGTTGCAACTGGAAAAAACTAGCTTTGACGATGACTCCCATAAGAAGTTCCTCGGCTTGAAGAATATCAATCTCTCAATTAGAAAAGGCGAATTTGTAGTGATTACAGGAGTTATCGGTTCTGGAAAGTCTTCTTTACTCCATGCGATGGCAGGCGGAATGAGACTTGACTCTGGTGAAGTGACAGTTGATGGGTCTCACTTAATGTGCGGAGAACCTTGGGTGCAAAATGCCACAATCAGAGAAAACATTCTATTCGGCTCCATATATGATGAAACGTTGTATAGGCAAGTAATCTATGCTTGTTCTTTGCAACAAGATCTAGATTCATTTGATGCTGGTGATTTCACTGAAGTTGGTGAAAGAGGTATAACACTCTCAGGTGGTCAGAAAGCAAGAATTAACTTAGCAAGAGCAGTATACGCAAATCCTGATGTTTTACTATTGGATGACGTTTTGAGCGCAGTTGATGCAAGAGTTGGCAAACATATTATGAATGAATGTATCATGGGTCAATTAAGGAACAAGACGAGACTATTAGCAACGCATCAGCTTTCCTTTGTTGAATTTGCTGATAAAATTATCTTTTTAAACGGTGATGGCTCAATTGATGTTGGAACGCTTGAAGTTTTAAAACTGAACAATGCTGCATTTGCTAAGCTATTAAGCTTCAGCGGATCAAGTTCAATGCCTACGAATACCGAGGAAGAAGTTGAGGAACCGGAAATTGAAAAAGTTATAGCATCAACAAATCCAAATGATATCTTGGGACAAGATAAATTAAGCTTAAATGTTACTTCTGCCTCAAATCAAAGCAGTACAGATGATGATGATGATGAAATTGAGCCCAAGGCATTACCAATTGATTTGAGGAATGGGAAGCTTCATAAAGAAGAGGAAAAGGCTGTTAACAAAATTAAATTTACAGTTTATATTGAGTACGTTAGAGCTGGAGTTGGAAAGTTGGGAGTTGGTGGATTCTTCTTACTTTTTGTCCTTTCAGCAGCACTTGCAACATTCTCGAGTTTGTTCACAAATACTTTCTTATCTTTTTGGATCTCCAATAAATTTCCAGGTAAGTCGGATGGGTTTTACATGGGGATTTATGCTATGTTGACGTTCACTACAGCCATTTTCCTTTATTTGGAATTTTTTATTCTTGCAACTGTTATCACAACATCTTCGAAGAATCTCAATCTTGTAGCAATGAAGAAATTACTTCATGCTCCCATGTCTTTCATTGATACAACACCTAGTGGTAGAATGATTAATAGATTTACTAAGGATACTGATGCGTTGGATAATGAAATCACTGAAAGTTTAAGATTTTTACTCTATGGAATTGCCAATTTGATTGGTATATTTATTTTATGTTGCATATACTTACCTTGGATCTTGATTGCAATGCCATTTTTCGTTATTACTTTCATTTGCATAGCCAATTATTTTCAAGCTACCACAAGGGAAATAAAAAGAATTGAAGCTGTGCAAAGGTCATTTATTCACAATAATTATTCTGAAGTTTTAAATGGTATGAGTACGATTAAATCCTACTCTGCGGTTAATAGATTCATCAATTTGAATAACAAACACATTAATACGACAAATGAGGCGTCGTATTTGGTAGCTTCGAACCAGAGATGGTTAGCCATAATGCTAGAGCTCTTGGTGTTCGCTTTCACTTTAATGATAACTTTGATGTGTGTTAATAGAGTTTTCAAGATTAACGCTGCATCGAGTGGTTTGATCATCGGTTATACTTTTTCACTTGGTAATGAGCTTTCTCAAGCCATTAGATTGTATACACAAGTTGAGAACGATATGAACTCTGCTGAAAGAATACAGCAATATGCATTCCACATGGATCAAGAAGCACCTTTTGAAATTGCAAGTACGAAACCTGATTTGCTGTGGCCACAAAATGGTCAAATTGAATTTAAGAACGTTTCGTTAAGTTATAGAAAAGGGTTACCAAACGTGTTGAAAGGTTTGAACTTCAATGTTAAGGCTGGAGAGAAAATCGGAATTTGTGGTAGAACCGGGGCCGGTAAGTCGTCAATAATGACAGCGTTGTTTCGTATAGTTGAATTATCTGAGGGCCAGGTATTAGTGGATGGAATAGATGTGTCAAAAATAGGGTTGCATGATTTGAGATCAAATTTATCGATTATACCACAGGACCCAGTATTATTCACTGGTACAATCAGGAGAAATTTGGATCCATTTGGTGAAAAAAGTGACGAAGATCTTTGGGATGCTTTAAGAAGAGCAGGTGTTATCGAAGAAAGCAAAATTGAATATGTTAAGCAACAGACAATTAACGATACTAAGGAAATGCATAAATTTCACTTGGATCAAGAGGTTGAGGAGCAAGGTGCTAACTTCTCTCTTGGTGAAAGACAATTCATTTCCTTCGCTAGAGCATTATTAAGGAATACAAAAATATTAATTCTTGATGAAGCTACATCATCCGTTGATTATGAAACAGATAGTAAGATCCAACAAACTATTATTAGAGAATTTGGTGACTGTACTATTTTGTGTATTGCTCACAGAATCAAGACCATTTTGAATTATGACAAGATCGTTATACTTGAAGATGGTCAATTGGCAGATTATGACACACCATGGAATTTATTCAATCGTGAAGGGATATTCAATCAAATATGTGAAAAATCCTCAATAGTTGCCTCAGATTTCCACAGAAGATAAAAATCACAGAGAATACAGTCTAATGACGTTTCAAAGGAATATTCCGGTTAAATTACAAACACAGATGGAGTAACCATAAAGCTATTAATAGTTCCTTCGAAAAAAAAATGGATAGAACATGGATAAAACATGGATAGAAATTGGATAGAAATTGGATAGAAATTGGATATGATTTGCGTAGATTATGCATAGAATTTAGATAGAATATGGGATACAAATGATTATAATATATGACAAGGAAAAATTAGTGAAGAGTAGACTATGCATGTAATTATGATAGATTAGGAAACCTGCAATTTTAAAGTCTAAAGTGTGGGAATCCGCATGCTTCTACTGGATCACCCTTTTACGCTTCCGCCTCACAGAAATAAGTTAAGATTTAAACAATTACGGTAAGAACAACCCCCTGACATCATGAACTCCCATAACCCTGGCTCAATTAGCTTTCTAATCAGCATCAATAAATCTAGCTTACTGATGAGAGGAACCACTACATGCCACATGCAAGAGAACAATTTCCTGTTCTAGATCAAATTGCTACCTGGCATTCGCTAAGAATAAATTCGTTAACAGAAAAAAAAAGAAATCAAAAAATAAGCCAGCCTGCCTCCCCACGAACTGTTTACCCTTTCATGCAGGTGTACGGATGTTTCGTACCATACACCTAAGGAAGATCAGATCAAGACCATTGCTTCTATTTGAACCAAGTTCTTCCTTTCTCTTTACCTTAAGTTAGTTAGTTTGATGCTCTTGTGATAATGAACGTCACTAGTAACGGGTACTACTCCTCAAATTACCTCAAGAACCGAGAACGTTATGGCAGGCGATATTACGATGACAGCGAGTCGGGATCAGATTGGGGTACTATGATGATGAATGATGAAGGCGATTATTCGTTCAATGACCATGATGAGGACTATGAATCGCATGGCGAAGAACCAACAAAGCTGCAAAAAATTACGGAAATTAAACCAAAATCTATCCTCAAACTGTCGGGAAGCAATAATCAACCAAATAGTGGCGTGAAGCAAAATGCAAGATTCACGTCAGATATAGAGGATTCAAGCATTAGCACAGTTACAGAGCGTGAGAGTCTGAACATTGACTCACCTGTTACACATTCGACTAAAAGTCCGGTGAAAAGTGAAGTAGCTACACCTACACCCACAGTTTCAGATGATCCAGATTACCTTGTGGAAGGGATGACACCTGCTCAACTTATCAATCAGCAGAACAGTTCCTATTCGTACTATGACAACAGGCGAGGTTATTACCAACAGCCTTCCCCAAACAGAAATCCCTACTATAGAACAAATTCAGGCGGTGCCGGAACTTACTCAGGCAATATCATTGGTAATGGCACTTACATGGCTCCTCCTAGGAAAAGAAAAGAAAGGAAAGTGATCAACCAATTTAATCCTGATGACCACTATATAAAACAACAAAGAAGATACGACTCGTCGACGTATAAACCAACTATGTATCGACACAAGACCTTCAGAGAAGTATTTGACGATGAGAATAAACTAGAAAGACAAGCAGAATACAACCCAATGGAGTTTGTATTCCAGGCACCAACGTCAGAACAGAAGAATGAGAAGAATATTAGAAAGACTTTCAAGTCTCTTACCGGTAAAAAAGATTACAATGATCTTGACTACTACGAGCAGCAAGAGCGAGATAGAAAATTAAGAGAGGAGAAAATAGCAGCTGAAGAAAGAAGAGAAAGGGAATTATCTGAAAAGGTATATTTGAATGAATCTGAGGAATTGGAATTGAAACAGAGAAGGAAAAAATTGAAGATATTGAAATTCGGCAACATGTTAAAGTTTGGAAAGAAAAAGGTAGTCCCAGTCCTGGATGTAGAAGGAGATGTTTTTCTGGACGGTGAAGGTAGCATTTTCGTCAAGAATGGCGATGGACTGGAATCATTGGTAGGTAAACATGCATTAAAAGATACAGCGTCCACTGCTGAGCTATTAGTAGATGGTGCTGGAAATGAGAGGATAGTTTATTCCACGGATAGTGTACGTCCAAGTAATGCATCAGTTAAGTCTAGAAGGAGCGAGAAGACTGCCAGGAGCGAAAAGATTCATCATGTTGCTCCAGTTAACAATATACCTATAGGGGCAAATGCGAACCCTAATTTCACCTGGTGGTGGAACTATATACTCTCCTGGATAGTTTACGAAAGGGCAGTGGAAGATGAAGCATCAATTCATGATACGAAATCGTATGTGGGGACCACGAAGTCAGGAAAAAGCTCGAAAAGTCAGAAATCAAGTTCAACTGCTTTGGTGGCAACGCCAAAGACTGACATTGCACAGGTGGACGATACGCATGAAGAACTTTCACCCTGGAAGAAGATTAAAAGAATCCCAAAAAATACTAAAACTACATGGCAAGCACTCCAGCAACCTGCAGATCTGAGATTTATTAAAGGAGGTTGGTCGGCTGCTGTCCAAGCAGTAGAGAGAGATCAAGCAGAACAGGAAGCTTTACAAGCACTTGGTACTGATGGTCATTCAGTAATCACTTATCCGAGGTCTACCAGAACAGGAATTACTTCCTATGATTATGACCCAGATACGAAAGATCTAGTAGTGGAAACGGATGGTGGCCCAGTGCAAGAAGAACTATATTACAATCCGATTCATGATCATTTGGGAGAATCCCCCCCAACACTGTACAATTCCTTGAGTCCTGCTATCTTGAGTCCGGAAGAAGAAACTGGCCCAGTTGCAATTATATCTAATATCGCCTCGACAATCAAAGGAATAAAGATTATGAAAATTCTTTTTGCCCCAATTGATGTAATCGGAGAAACTTTCCCTAATTTACAGACAATTGTTATTATGGTAGAATTAGTGATTTTCGTGTGGATATTGTATGAATTGAGTCTATTGGTGGATGCCTTGTGTATGATGGTTAAGGCTGTCTGTGCCCCAATGATTGCTGTAGGTAAATTTATGAATAAAATAATGTAGAGAATGTATATAGGAATTAAGGCTGCAAAGTCGAGCAAGCATGAATAACATAAGTATTTTACAGTGTTCAGAAACATAATACCAGCTATAGTACCATTTACATGATCTCAATCCTCTAGAATAAAAGTAAAAAGGCTAACACAAAACTTCTCAAATCATTTGTCAATTCAACAAAGGTAAGTTCCAGTTGAGAATCAGATCAGAACCATTCAAACAATTGTACTTCAATTGTCATTTGGGAAGCGCGGATATTTAACTACCGTCCCTCTTTGGGATCTCTTTAGCAAAGCAGCATCTTGTAATAACCTCGTATCTCCAATTGGTGGGGGATTGTACGTGCATGAGGGGGGACAATGTGAGAGCTGCAGAGACAAATATGGTATGCACAGTGATCAAATTTCTCGAAAATAAGTTTTCAAGAGATGCATCTAGCTATCGGCCGACACAGATTAAAATTATTCGTAAATTTATTTCGAGGGCCACTATTCGAAATGGTTGATTCGAAGCTGTCAAATATATGCCAAAATACACAATTGTCAGTGCCCGCTTCGATAAAGAAACAAGCAAGTCTAGCTTCTGAGTAGTAAGTGGGGTGATTATTACAAAATACCATTTGACAAATGTAGAACTCGTAAGTGATTTTTGTACATCCTTTAAGTCGTGTTTTTCGTGCATGCATACTTTGGTACCTTTTTTGCAGCCAACATGCTGCCAAACGTCATCTGCCAAGAGTGTATTTTTCCTAATTGGAACAAAATAAATATACGAGTAATTAATAGGAAGTATATATATGTATGCATAAATGCATCAAGCAAGAAAGAAAGAGAGAAAGAAATATAACAAATAAATAATCAAGTACTTTAGGAAATACTGACAAAATGAACTTTGACTACGGTATTGTCAGAGAACATTATGTTCCCAATCTTTCTCCCTTCCCGCACCCATTCTACACGAACTTTCAAGATCTCGCTGATGATCCTAAATGCTTGGAAGAATGGAACATTATATATATCTCTCAATTGATTAGAGAAAAGCCAGAATGGAAGAGAAAATATAAAGACGAAACCATTGTTGCTAAATGGAAAGCTGAACTTGAATCCCAATTCAACGACAAGTCAGAAAATTTCGAAGCAGTTTGGGCATACGTATTGAAAGAATTAGAATGGTATGAGAGAATGGAATTGAACTTTGCTGGCTTTCAAAAAAACGGATTTGTCATTGGCTGCGATGATAAGGTTGTGTATTCTGATACTGCTGTTGATTCGGAAAAGAAGGAAACTTTAAGACACTGTGTTAAGGAATTTGTAGATGAAGAATTCCAAAACACTGGACTTGACTATCATCCAGGTAGCAAAGATCAGGTAGTTGATATTGTTCATCCATCGTTGTATCCTCTTCAATATGGTGTCACTCCATACTATCCTACCAGAAATACAGAAAGTTTAACTGTTGTTGAGTTTGATTCTTCAGTCGGTAAAAGTAAGTATGGAGTGGAGCCATGGGCACAATCAAAGAATTATCAATGGCTTCCAGCCTTGATGAGTTTCCAGAAGTACTCTTGGAAGAGTAAAGATTACTTTTTTCAATCGTATATTAATAACTTGCATCCGAAATATGAAAAGTTATATCACGTTATTGAAGATGTATTCAATGCTTCTATTCCGGGTTTAAATTTGGTATTATCAAGATACAAGACCGGTGGGTTCACTAGAATCCCCCTCGACTCAGGAAATTATTACACGGATGAATGGGAGAAAATGTCCAAAGATTTCTGGGATAGGGCAGCCAAAGACAATAATTTATGGGATGAATATGACGAGTTCTTTGAAAAAAGGGTTAATTATTTTAAACCATTGTCAATCAAATATGAATTGGATCCACCTGTAGATTATACATTTGACTTAAGAAAATCATTTGCTTATCTCAAGGTAATTGTTAAGTTGGCAAATATCGAATTAACACCAGAAAATCCTAATTACGAAGGTGGCTCCTGGCATGTGGAAGGTACTATCAACGAAGATATCGTGGCAACCGTGTTATACTACTACGATTGTGAGAATATATCCGAGTCTAGGTTAGCCTTTAGAACCACCTTTGAAGACCCACAATACGATCAAGGAGATGAACTTGCGGTACAAAGGGTCTATGGACTCAAGGATGGTGACATCATGAACAAAAGAGTTGGAGATGTCAAGTGTCAAGAAGATAGACTTTTAATCTTCCCCAATGGCTTTCAGCATCATGTGGATCCATTCGAATTGAAAGATAAATCAAAACCTGGACACCGTAAGATCTTGTGTATGTTCCTAGTGGATCCATATAATAAGAAAGTTGTAACGACTGCCCAAGTGCCACCACAACAACCATCTTGGCATGAACAAGATAAGAAAGATGAACCAATTAGAGAGCAGTACAAGAAAGATGAAGCCGAAAAGAAAAAACAAGACAAGTATTACCATAGTCCTGATAAATGGGATATGTTTCAGTTTTTTGGTGATAATTGGAGAGAAAGCGTTGATAAGTTGAAAAACCCGAAGGGTGGATTTTTTTCGAAAACAGAGCATAATTGGCCAATATCCCTAGATTCAGCAAAGGATGTCAGGAAGAAGTTAATGGAAGAAAGAAAAGTTCCAGAAGATCCTGATGACGATTTGGCTTTCACAAGAGAATTTTCCTTGTGTGAACATTAATGATATTTTAATGCAATACAGTAATTGTTTTCTTTCACTTAAGACCTCTATTTTTATTTTCCATCTATGAGATGGAAATTAGCTGTCAGCTAAATAAAACTACTTATAATATAATACATGAATTCTAATGCAACGAATATAATACTTTACCATGAACCAAGTTACCAAGACGGATTAGATCTCTCACTTTACCTGCAGGAAAGTTTTTCACAATTTTCAGCCCGAGCAGATTTGACTGAAAAGCATACCTAAAGCTAAGAAGCACTGAGTGTCCAGGAGAGTATACCGCAGGCTGAATGATTTCCAGACAATATAGAGTCCTTAAAAGGGTACCTATTCAAACGGCGAAGAGGTTTTTGGCTACTGAAAAAGCAAAGTTGCCACATGGAACGGCTCAGCTAAGTGAAGAAGAAAAGAAAAAAGCAGCTGCAGCTCTAGCTATGCAGTCAATAAAAGACATTGGACGTCTTCTTTCGTCGTCCCCCGATTCTGACTACGAGACTCAGCCGATAGATACTAAGCCGATATTTGAAGACCCTAAATTATTTCCTACCTTAAGCTTGCTTCACCAGGGCCAAGTGTTGAAGGAATTGCAGGAAAAATATGACAAGAAATGGACCAAATTAACCGATGAGGACAAACATTTAGGTTACTATATAGCATATGGAAATTGGGGTAGTAGAGAAAAGTTTGACAATTGGAAATCAATTTCTGACGCTCCGCTTGACCTACCATTCCATACACCTTCTAAACCAAGAGATGCGAGCCCTGTAGCAACGACCAAGATCAACAAGTTGTCACCACCAGTCGTATTGTCTGAAACTCCAATTAGAAAACCCCAATTTAACATAAAAAAGATGGATGGCGCAACAAAATTCTTTGTATACTTGATAGTGCTCGTTGCCATGTTAGCTCTGTATAGAGACCAACACATAGGAGAGGAGGGTCGCCCAGTAGAACCAATAATTGTAGACCCATACGAAGAAAAGCGTCTTGAAGAAGAAAATAGAAAGAAACAAGAAGAAGAAAGGCTTAGGTTGGAAGAAGAGAAGAGGAAGCAGAGAAAATGGTACTTCCTTTGGATCAGGTAAGCCTAGCATTTGTGGGTATATGCTGTTACTGTAGACGAACATCAACTACTCCACTCATACTTGACTGAAATATTTATAAAAAAGCTAGGCATCAACTTAATACTGGGAACATCTCCTCACTTGTATATAACACAGAAAATAGAACAATATTTTATACTACTACTTTACCACTAGGTACTTTTAACTTGTAGAGCTAAGTAATTGTTATGTGTAGATATTCAAGGCATGACATGCATATGTCAAATATACGGCTCAAACAGCTTACAAGTACTGAAATATACGAAACTTTGAATAGAGAAGATCTCCCAGGACCTGCATCTTTTCAAAAGGTTAACCCATCACTTTCTCTCTCGTCCACTATCCCAAATCTCACGCTTTCTGCAGAATTATACAGTCGCCTTTCTTGTTCTCGAAGGAGTAGGTTGTTCTATGCATACGTTTTGTCCAACATTGCAGCAATCTTTGTTTGATCATGGTTCGTTTTTTGTCTTGTAGAAAGCAATTCACATACATATACTGTTAGCGAGACATACAATGCATGTTTTTGGGTTGAAAGAGCTATCATACTTCACTTGACAAGAATATTTCGTTTTCCACGAAGCTGTTGTCATCTCTGAGTCGCATAAGGGATCTGAAATGCAAATGGTGCCGCCCTTGGCAGTGAAGAAACCCTGATCTGCCGGATACCCTGATGTACTGAAAAAGAAAAAGAGGGGGGATTGGTAGACAAGTGGTAGGGGAAGCGGCTTGGCTGTACATTTAACACTGCGCGCATGCCTCCAAAACAGTCCAGTACAGGATTGTACAGGATCTTTGCTAAGAAATATGGGCATCAATTTAGCGCTCGTTATGTCGGTGCATGCCTGTTGGTAAATATGATTTGCATAAGGGCTAAATAACGGAGGGTCTACCTGAAAGTACAAAACTCTCACTCTGCTTCCTCCTATTCTTATTCATTATAGTAACGAAGTGGTGTATTTATAGAGCAGGACACTTCCCCCCACCGAATTCCCCACTCGACTAAAAAAAGAAAGATACATCTGGGTTTAGTGCGTGTGGCATATTGATGCAGGTTCTTTCCCTCAGCACCCAGATAATTGTACTCTTAGCATGTTGAAGAAGGAATGAGAATGCAAGAGAAAAAATTACCAGAAAACCCATTAGATAGAACTTATTATTATAGACTCTATATGATTGACCATTTCTTGGAAGAAGTAAAAAAATATTGAGCAACACAAGACAAAGGGAGGGAGAGTAAATTTTATTTTTTCTTTTTGTTTCTTTTCTTTTTTATTTTTTTCTTGAAAAGGTTCTTTCTGGACCAAAGGGAGAGATTATTAGCGGGCACATTTTTGACACAATCAACTCCACAATGATCATTCTTTGAAAAATTACTTTTATCAAAATAATAAATAAGCTAGCCTTAAGCTTTTTTACGCTCAGTTACATCACACATACTCGAAGAATTTTCTAGCGACGTTGTCCCCAGATACCTCTACGCCACTCCAAAGCCAATCAGTTTCCTTTTTGTATGGCGCATGTCACTCTCCCTTGCATTTCTTCACAGCCTATTTTCCTTCTAATCTGATATAAATCTTGAAAAATTCTCGTAAATAAAAATTATAATTTTTTTTTTAGATTATCGAAATTTCCTTTTACGAAAAATCACTCCCCTCCTGCACAGGGTGTTTAAGAAATTTTCTCTATTCAACTGGCCTTCTTCATTTTGTCTTGGTTAGAAAATTCCAGAGAGTCAACTTGAAGCTATATTAGAGCCACAAGGGACGCAATTAACAGAACAATACCAATTGTTACGTCTAGTAGGGGTTCTCCATAATCACAGGAAAGTTATGGAGTCATTCGAAACAATACCGATGGATAGCAGCAATGGCGGTAATATAAATAATGTTAACAAGGGTTGTATTAACAATTTCATGTATTCGTCTGTGCCAAACATGAGCATGGAAAATGGGTCACAGCTAAAGTTTTTGGACGAAGATCAACAGAAGCAGATACAGCAACATCTATTTCACCAGCAATTGCAACAACAGCATCAACTGTCGCAGTTGCAACATCAAGGTGAACTGGTTCCACAAGACGATCTAGCTAGACGCGCAAGCACCAGTGGTGGACAGGGCCAGGCAGTTCAAACGTCTGGCTCGTCATTCTTACCGTCGTCTTCAAGTACACACTCGCCCCACACCCTTTTAATTGCGGATCTATATGTGTATCTTGTTTCTAATGGATTGAGAGATACCGCCAACTCACTCTTTGAGGAGATCAGTACTGGCCTTGACTTGAAAGATAAAGATACGTTGAACAAATTAATTGAAAGCAAGCTTTCTGGAAAGAATAAAAACGACACATTCTTAGAAGACTGGTGGGAGTTGCTATGGGGAACGCATTCGAATTTTAACCCACTATTGAGCCTGGCATCTAATGCTCAGGGTGGAATGAAGTCGGGTGTCGTGAAAACGAATGACATGGTTCCGGTTTCGAATTTTGCAGGCGCAGGATTAGGAGTAGGAGCAACAAAGGCAATGCCACCGCCAATGTCAAAGCAGTTGCCTAATACGAACCTAATACAATATCAGCAACAGTTAAGGTTGCAGCAGTTAAGACTTCAGCAGCAACAAAACCAGCAGCTCCAGCAACAAGCTAATTCTCCGTCTACGGGACAACGACAACACTTACAAGCCACAGGCCCTGGTGGACAAGGTGCACAAGGTGGACTGGGGGCTCCGATAGGAGCTAACCAGATAGGTACTCCAGGAGCTACAGGAGGAGCGGGAGTTGCTACCGCCGGATCAACCGGTCCCACAACTTACCCCCAAAATCAGGCACTAAACGACTATCAATTGAATTTGTTGTCAATGGAATACCAAAATAACCAACAGAAAAAACAATTCATGATGATGAAGCAGCAACTCCAGTCTCCTGGGGTAGCAAATACAAGCAATAATGACATAGCAAAAGCTGAAGCTGTTTCTCAAAGTCAACAAATGGCTCAACAACAAGCCATATTACAACAACAAATGTTCATGGCTCAGCAGCAGCAGCAGCAGCAGCAGCAGCAGCAGCAGCAGCAGCAGCAGCAGCAACAGCAACAGCAGCAGCAGCAGCAGCAGCAGCAACAGCAACAGCAGCAGCCGCCTCCAAGAATGGGGTCTGTAGGTTCTCAAGCCCAACAATCGCCTGTTATGGTACAGAAAACGCCACAGCAACAGCAGCAGCAGATTCAACGACCGGCCCAGGCACAGAGCCAAACACCTGCACAAGTGCAGGCACAAGCACAGGCACACCGTCCATCAAATGGAGGTTACAATGTTAATGCCGACGAACAAAAACAACTTCAGATACAGTTTCAATTCCAGCAACAGCAGTTCGAACTCATGCAGAAGCAACTGCAAGAACAGGCACAGCAGGGTCAATTTACACAAGGACAGCCCCAACAGCAGCCCCCACTGCAACTGGGAGCTCAGCCCCTGCAATCTATACAGCAGAATCAATTACAAAATGGGGCGAACGACTCGACTACTGATATGAACTTGGTGACACAATCTTCCGCCATCCCCATCGAGAGCTGGCTACACAACTTAGGAGCAGGGCCAGGATTTACATAGTTTTAGAATCAAAAATTCACTTCAATTAATACGTATATACTTATTTAGGATTATTCAATAGCAGCAGCAATACATAATTTAACTTATTCTATTAGGACAGAGTAGTAGCATGATGTATTTATACTATATTTGGAATAGTTCACAAAGTCCATAGGACATACTTTAACTTCGTTTTAGGGACAGGATTCACTCTGGGTGCAAACACAATTCTGGGATGCGGGTCAGTATTCAGAATGTCAGCAGTACATTCCTCGACTCCATCTAAAGTGTAGAGCACTCTTTGGGTGCAAATAAGGTCGTGAAACATGGGGTAGCCTTATATGAAGGACCCAAAACTGAAATATTATCACCTACTAAGAAAATAGTATTTGTTAAATATAGGAGAAAAATACTTCTTTAACTATTAATCACTCGAAGCAATCTTCCAGATGAGCCAGATCCTTAAGAAATACAATATCAATATAGCTGTTGATGTGTGTTGAACGTCGCTCTGTCTTGAATCAATTTGTTTCCTAATTGAGCTACATGGTGAATCTTGTTGTTCTCGGTTATTTTTTTTATGCACAACAGCACATACAATAGAACCATCCTGCACACAACCACATCCTCATTAAGAAAAAACTATCTAGTACATCGTAAACAACCATAAATTTCATTTACTGTTTTTTCTTTCCTCTTTTCTTATGGCTTTCTATTAGTCTTTATATAAGTTGTGTTCTATTGAATTATAGAGAAAAAGCACGAGAACGAGCATACTTGAAATATCTTGGAGAAAGATTGCATACAACTTCGTGGAATTTACGAAGAGGCTGTAATCAGCACAAAAGTAAACCCAAGCTAGAAAGCTTTTCTCATGAATTTTGGTTACATCACCAACTACCTATCGTCATCTGTAGCGAGAACCGGTCAAGAGGCGCATGCTCCACAGTTTGAACAGAATGGTGAGATAAGTGACTGGGGTATAGATGAGACTCCAGTCCATTCCTCTAGGAGTACTTCAATCAGTCTTAAGCACCCAGCTCAACCTTCATACTCCACATATTCGCATTTACATTCACATGCAACCTCCAATCCTGCATACACTAATACCAATTATCAATACTCTACCAATGGTTCCGTCCACAACGACACCACCAATTTCCTTCGCCACACAACAACCAATGAAGAGATCTCTCTGTACATTAAGAAGTATCTTTCATTAAATAATTGCGTGAAAGAATTTTGGGAAAAATTCAAGTATGACTTAATTGTTTCGAGTCTTTTAGACGAATCAATGATCTTATCCAAGAATGAACAAGCGATAAAAGATATGTCTGGTAAAGAGGGAAATATTTTGTTGCATAGATCCCGAGAATATGCAAAAATGTTGAATGACGATGGTACAAGACTAAAAATTTACCAGCGGAATTATAACTTAAGATTTCCGTCTGTAATTTCAGCTGGTGGCATTCTTCAATGTATACACATGATAATATACTCACTTAAATCAAAGTTAAATGGACCTGGATATAGTGAGATAAGTATATTGGCAATTTTCAAGATTTTGCTTATAATTTCAACCAAAATAGTCCAAAGAAGACGAATTTTGACATTCATTACGGTGTCAAAAGTTACCATGAAGCTTCAGCAACTTCTATTGAACAACTATAAAGTGAACAAGTCCTTTATGGTTAGCTTACTTCGAATTAAGGAAGAGGAAATCTTTAATTTCATGAACAAACCTTTAGGGGACACAAAAAATGGTACCAAAAATAATATCACTAGTAAAAACTCATCATTGTTGGATCATGCCATAAGCATCCTTATAATACATCTTACAAAATGCATAAAGACTCTTTTACCATATATGAACGGCCCCGCTTTCGAAAAATATTGTCTGGTTAATAATGTGAATTGGAATTTTGTGCTGGAATCTGAATATAATAAAGAAGTACTCGATGAGAGTCTAAATTTAACTGTGCAATCACTTAGTCGAAAACTTGCAAGATTCAACCAGATTAGGAAAGTTTTTTTATGCCAACTATTAACCTTCGATGAAATACCAGATAAAAACTTCTTTCTTTGTAAACTCTGGGATGATTTCGAAGTACAGGAAGGAAATATTGAACAGAGGAAATATGAGGGTACTTCTGAGCTTTCCAAGTTAGCTATATTGCATTCAGTTATGGATGAACAAAATAAGATTATACTGTCCATCGAAGGAATTTTCGAAAGAACTAAATTCGAGGCTCAAGAAGACCAAGACGTATTGGCCAGCACGGCAATGACCCAACAACATCAACTTGCACCTTCTCACTTTGATAGTGACGATACAAATGAAGGTGACATAAATAATAGACATATAAATCAGTTAATTGATAAATTGACGACTCTCACTACCAATCTTAAATTTTTTGAGAAATATAATAAATCCACATCGAACATGACTGATGTTGATGAGTTGAACGAGAAAATATTTATTTTTAACCAATTTGGCAATGATTTAAACAATCTTAAAGAATTGCACCAAGTTTATCTCAATGAAATCAGCTCTAGAGTTAGTCGCAGGTCGCAAAACTCTACACCCAGCTCTTCAAATAGAAATTCGAGAGAAGGAGGTGATATTGAAGGAGGCTTTAGCTTGAAATCATTCCATACTTCCTCATCAATCAAGAAGCGGTTTTCATTACCTGTTCAACCTTCAGGATCTGTTACAACCCCAAAGAGTAGCCCAATTGTGTCAAATAGCTCACCTTCGTCTGCATCAGGAGGTAGAAATGCTGTAGGTGACAAGAAATATAAAAGACTATCCGCTGGCTTGCCTGTTGGCTTATTGACTGTATTTGAAGAACCAAATAGCAGTAGTAATAGAAGAGTCAACAGCTCAAATCAACATAATGCTCTTATGTCACCAAGAGCTTTATCTGGAAGTGGAGACTCTAGATCAATATCACTTGATGACAATTACATTAACATTCTCCCCCCTACGTCGTATTATAATGAGACATATAACCATGCAGCATTGGAAGCACTATCCCGAAAACAACAAACCAATAGCACTAAAATAGTGCCAGGAAATCGGTATTCGTTAAACTCCATGAATTCAAATGTGAGCGGAATATCTGATATGCTAGCATCTACTAACCAAACTTCTGAACAAGAAGATCCCACGTCCCCCTCTTTTTCTAAAGAGGATCTAAAATTGAAGCTAGAGGAAAGCTTTAACCGTATATACAGTTTGGAGAGTGAAAACTCTAAATTGAAACAACAACTACCGCTAGAGGGAAATGAAGATTTTACTGTAAAGGATTTTTCCACTGTTAGTGATGCTGAAAAATCGGGATTCTTGAGCCAATTGGAAACAAAGTTGCAGTTGAGAACTGATTCAAATGTTCACGACCAAACGATCGAGGAGGAAGACTAATATATATGCTACTTACTACATTTTGTCAGTTAATAATACTAATAGCATCTAATTATAATTAATATACAATTCTTTTTAATATTTATATTTACAGCATTGGCGTCACTGTACCGGAGAATTTTCCCTCTCCTTCGTGGTACATTTCTTCAAGACCAGTTAAGCTATTTTTTTCACCTTTGGCACTCGATTTAACCACGATATTACTACTAGTATCATCTTCTTCATCCATCAATAAAAAGGCTACATCCTTTTTCCTACTGGATGAAGATTCATCCTTAGGGAATGCTGCAGCCTTCCCTTCCATAACAACTTGTTGAACTTGTTCCTTTTGCTTTGCTCTATTTCTCATCCTTTCTTCAATAGTACCCCTAGTAAGTAATCTATATACTGTGACTTGTCTTGTTTGTCCTAACCTGTGAGCTCTGTCCATCGCTTGCGAATCAATAGTAGGATTCCAATCTGAATCATAAAAGATCACAGTATCTGCAGCAGTCAAGTTGATTCCTAAACCACCAGCTCTGGTAGACAATAAGAAAACAAAGATTTCAGGCTTAGATTGCCAATCATGAACTAAGTCTCTTCTATCGTCAAGCTTGGAAGAACCATCAAGTCTGATATACATATGCTGTCTATAAGTTAAATATTCTTCCATAAGATCCATCATCTTTGTCATTTGGAAATACACTAACACTCTGTGATCGTTTGCCTTCAACTCATTAAGTAATGAATCTAATTTTGCTAACTTTCCAGATTCAGTAATGAAACGAGTCATGGAAGGCATACGGATGTTAGAATAGTCAATTTGTTTGTTGAGTTCAGTAGGCAACATATCTGACTTAGGGAAAGACAGTAACGGAATATTATGACTTAAAAGTCTAACTTCCTCATTCAATGATAATGGTACTAAAGATGAACGAACCTCACTATCGAATAAAGTACGGTCCCAAGTAGTTTTGAAGGATTGTGATGGACAGGAAAGTTCTATTGGTGGAGCAGATGCTTTTGGTTCAGCAGCAGGCTTAAGAACATTAATATACATATCTTCATAAACTGTAGTTTGAATAGATTTCAATTGTTCAGGAATGTATGGTAATGATTGATTGCTCTCCTTTACAAGTAATAATTTGTTAGATGGTGAATAGTTGTCCTCATCATATAAATACTTCAATCTGCTACTCCCTTCGTAATTAATATCAGTATACTCTCTATTTTGAATTGCTCTCTGCAACACGTTCTTCTTGGTTAATTTCTTCAATTCACCAGCGGAAGTATCGACAAATTTTAGCCAACCAAATCCATCATCCTCTTTTTGGATATTTTCAGGATTATAAATAGATAATTTATCATATAGCAACTGATTTTTTATTCCAAAGTCATTAGAATAAGTAGGCAGTAAAATCTCATCGAATATTAGTCTAGGCAATTCATATTTAATTGAATTTTCTAAGGTATAGTAGCACTCCAAATCATTTGACTCTCTTAAGAAAGAAGAAGTCTCACCAAACAGGCCAAACAGGAATGGGGACTTAACATCAGCTCTTTCAAACAAGTCAGGGTGATTACACACCTTCCTGAATTGCATGACAAGATTCATAAGGGAAGTATCGGTCGAAGAAGATCCATCTCCATTAATTGGATTTCCTGTTCCATTATTAGTATTGGCATTCGTACCATTTGCATTATTATTATTGCCACTTCCGTTGTTATTGCCAGCAGAAGAGAATTCTCCTTCCAATAAATCCATTACACTTATTTGACTCTTCAACATCTGGTAGTATTTCTTCTGCCTGTTGGTTAAGTCACAGAACAAATCGATTTCAACCTTATCACCTAACTCACTTTGAACATTCTTCTTGATTCTTCTTAACATAAATGGCTTCAAAATCATGTGTAATCTTCTTAATTGTTGTTCATTTAATTGAGTATTTGATTGCGCGTGACTTTCAATATCTTTTGAAAACCAATCACTAAATTCATCATGAGAATCGAATAATGAGGGCATAATAAAATGTAATAAGGCCCATAGTTCTTGCATGGAATTTTGAATTGGAGTACCAGTTAATAATAAGCGATTTCTACATTGGAAGGATAACAATGATTTCCACCTTGAAGAAGAAGAAGATTTGATTGCTTGTGCTTCATCAAGAATCATATATTGCCACTTCATCTTTTGGAAATATGCAACATCAGCAACAACTAACTGATATGAGGTGACCATGACATGGAAGGGAGCATCTTTCCCATATCTGACGTTTTTTCTATCCCAAAACTTTCTTAAAATCTTTCTATCCTTACCATTTCCCCAGTAAGGCAAGACCTTGAAGTCAGGGACGAATTTTGTGATTTCTTGTTGCCAGTTATGCAAAGTTGATGCAGGCGTCACAACAAGAAAAGGTCCCCAAATGTTATGATGTTCTGCTAAGTATGATAAAACAGATATACTTTGAACTGTTTTCCCTAATCCCATTTCATCAGCTAAAATACCGTTAATACCTTGTTCATAAAGATTGGCCAACCAATTTAAACCTTTAACTTGATATTCTTTCAAGGTGCATTTAAGCATTTGTGGCTGCTTGATATTAACATCACCCATAAGGGTGGGATTTTGAAAGTTCATTTCATCGCCATTAGTGTCATCATCATTATTATGTTGTTTGTCGAAGGATTTAGCCTTGTCTTGTGCAGCTTGAAGGGCATTTTGCGCATTCGCAGCGGCAGCTTGATTTAAGGCCTCTTCATCTTCATTATCGAAGTCAATACTGTGAATTTCAGTGACTTTTTCACCTTTAACCTGTTCATACTTATCATAATGCGAGTTCTTTGGATGCTTAGAGGTAATTTGTGGGTCAGAATCTGCTCCTTCAATTTCATCAGTCTTTATCTTCTTACCAATGAAATGGGAATATAATTCTGTTTGAGTAATAAGGAAATTTAATTTACGTGCTTGTCTCTTAGCTTCTCTATCTTCTTCTTCCTTCTTAGCCTTATCTATTAATTCCTTTTCGTGCTTCTTACGTAATTCTCTCTCCACTCTTTCATTACGCTTCCAGAAGTTGAACATTTCTCTCATAGCTCTTCTGGCCTTGGTCGTCAAATCCTTTTGGTTTTTGTTATTTTTCAATTGCCACCTCTTTGCTTCTCTTGCTGCAAGAATGGCGGTCTTCTTGAGATTTATAAGTTTAGCTTGGTTTGATTGTTGAAAAAGACGACTAACTTTGGGACCATCCTTACGGGAAAGATCTTTCCAAATTGCAATGAAAGTATTGTCGTATTGCTTTTGGATAACTCTTTGTCCCTTTACATTGCCTCCTGTAGACGGAGTAGCAGACGTTGCAGTTGCAGTTTTGGATTCTTCTTCTTTCTTCGCATTAGCAGCCTTAGAATCAGTAGAAGCAGCTGCGCTAGTTGAGCTTGCTGCTGGTCTTCTTCTTCTTCTTTTGGCAGGAGGAGCACTTTCTTCCTCATTTGCTGCGGTAGCAGAAGTAACTGCTCTTTTAGGATTGCTTCTAGACCTTCCATTGGTGGAAGATCCAGTTGTTGAGCCTGGTGCCCTTCTACCTCCTCTATTTCTCTTAACAGGAGCTGCTTTAGAAGCTTCTTCTTCATCTTTAGCCAAATCCTCCTCTTCTTGAATCTTTCTACTCCTAAGACGAGTGCTACCCCATTTATAGCTTCTTTCTCCATTTTCTACTTCGCCGTTAGCTGTATCAGAATTCTTCACAATTTGTTCCGCCACAACCCTCTCTATATAGTTATTTGCCAATAACTCAGTTTTTGTAATAGTATCATCAAGTAATTTTTGTTCGATATCCAAGACATCATAATTGTTTGCTTTCGTATAATATTGGTCGAGTTGAGCCAAGGTACCAACGTGATTTTCGTACTTTTCAAGGTAATCAGCCTGAATCTTTGAAGACTTTGGAGATTCGCCATTGACGAGGCTATTACTGTCTTCATCGTCACTGAATTGCACCGGCTCATATGAAATATTGAATGGCTTGAAGTTTGACACTGACTTGTCTATTTCGTCTACTTGTGGTCGATCTCTCGGTTTTGATTCTACTGGTGTGTCAACCATGATTTCTTTGGCTTCCTTTTTAACTACTTCTTGCTCTGGCGGAGTATCCGCCAACATGCTGGAAATATTCATCGTAATGCAAAACTTAAGTGTTAAAAAAACTGGGAATCAACAAAAAAATAAAGAGTTTCGTTTAGTTGACGTTTCTCAAAAACACGCTAGACTAGTTGGAGGTTGGTTAACAGGCGGGATGATTCGGTGCCAAACTTTTTTGATTACAATCTTTTTTTTGCTTTTTTAAAAAAATTTCCTCCGCTTTTATCAAGTTTTTTGTTTTGTGTGCGAGTGTTGTTGAGGTCCTCTTAGTTTTATTGCCAGTGAGAAGTTAATTGGATGATGATAGTCGGGAAAAAGTTGTGGTTTGGAAATTCGGAATTTTATTTTAGGAGATTTAGAAATTTTTCAGTAGATTGCACAGTTTAGGAAATAGTTGTCGATATATGAGAGAGACGGTTTGGAAAATGCGTTTAGAAAATAGACGGAAGAAACTTTTATAGATACGAAATGTGTTTTCTAGTGATGTTAGGTGGCTACAGACTTGCTTGACGCTGTTCTAGCATTGAAATAGGGCGACACCTTTGAACGTGTTCATGCAGTTCCCCTTTTATTTAATCTTTTGCTTCGCAGTTTTTTCTTATTTCTTTTTTCGTGTTGGTGCTGTGATTTTCATCAGACACCGGCAATAGCAAACTGGACTAACGCCTGGAATAATAAGGTATAATAGACCAGAATGATATAAAAACACAATGATTAGAGGTGTTCATGTGATTTTGACGCGTATTAATACTTAAGAACATGTCTTTGGGGGTACTATGTACTATGTAGTAGATATTTTTACATTTTGCGTTTATGATTTTTCAATAATTTTTTTTTTTTTTTTGACCTTCATTGACCTTTCTCACTTAGTGCTTCAATTTCACGCTATTTGCACTCTAAGTACATTAGTAAGGAGAAAGTATAAGCTTCCTGCTTGCAATGAGGGAACGGCACTTTGCCACCAACGCAATAATTACAAATTCACTCGGTGAAGAAGAGAAAAAAAAGAAAAGTGATTAGTATTATTATATCCTATAGGTCTGGTTTCATATGTGTGTAATTCCCATATTATCTTCATTTTTACAAATAGCACTCAAGACATCGGAGTTAGCCATATTTTTAGTACTTTCATGTATCCTTTAACTTGTTTCGTATTTTCTTGAATTTTAATGGGAACCTCCTCGGCCCTCTTCAATCTATGACGATAAATGCGCCCTGTTCCATCTCCTAGTTGCCTTGTCCCTTACTAATTGAGTAATTTCATTAGAAAGATATACTGTAAGCAAACATTATGTGCAGTATCGCACCAGAATTACAACACACTACGAACTTCCACGATACGGAGTAAGAATTGAAAACCGACGATTGCTTACCAATATCAAACTTTTCTTCATTTGAACTAACACACATATACTAACATTCACAATTTTTTTCCTCGCTATGGAACACCCTGCCTTCACATTATCCGGATTATGCGCCGTTGGTGCCATTATGGGCTACGCTCGTAAGGGATCTGTACCATCTTTAGTTGCTGGAACTACTTTCTCTATTATCTACGGTACTGCCGGATACTTATTGAAGCAAAACGCAGACTGGGGATTAGAATTGGCACTTGGTGCATCCTCAACTTTGATGCTTGCAGGAATTTCAAGAACTATCAAGGCGCAGAAGAAGACCATTCCAATTGCCTTGGTTGCTCTTGGTGGGTTATCCACTGCTTATTATGCTAAGAAGTATAGTGAATTCTACGGTTAAGCTTCTGAAGGAGTGAAAAAATTTCAGAACTTGCAAACTTGTTATGAAAACATATAAAATATAAGACGGCATACTTTAACTGAGGAATATATAATTTCTTACTGTAAATAGCTAAATGAAGTTTAATGCACATGCCAATTCAAATATCGCTCCATGTAGTTAGAGTATTACAAGTTGTGAAGTTAACGTTAAATGTTTATTTTTTTTTCCCTACACCCATAAAATCATAATAAATATATGCTAAAAATCCTAAGCATAAAGTGACACGGAAGTAGTCAAGTCCTAAGTCCGGTCCGGTAATCCGTCTTCTCAAAGAGCAATTGAATAGAGTAACATGTAGTACTACTATCAATGTCCACAACGAAGGGATTAGACCGATAATAAGAAGTAAAATCTTGGTATAAAAATATAATAATAAGCAGCACCTTTAATTTTCATTTTGCACCTGTTAGCAATAATGCGCACTTTTCAGATTCTTTCTATTCATAGTTGAAGTATCCTCCTTTGATTTACTTAGTTTAATTCAATTAAGGACATCTTTCTTTCCTTGTCAGAAACCTCAATCTCATCCAAGTTCTTGCTCAAAGAGCCAATTTCTGGGGAGGCGGCAACAAGAGTAGGAGACGAAACTGGAGATACATTTGGAATCACAAAGGGTTCACTTCTTTCGTTGGATAATTCTAAAAATTGCATTTGTTCGAGTTTGTAAGGCATTATTATGTAGTTGTGGATAGAAAATATAGATATTCACTGTATGGAAAAAATATTACAAAATAATCTGCAAAATATTAGGTAGATATCATCCACCTTATATAGTTTCCATTTTCTCATGTGGATGTATTGTTTTCATTATATCCACATCTATTCAGTACACTAATCCAGTATATCCGGGGTATGCCAAATATTTTTGTAAGCAAGGAAATACATCACCGCGCTTCGCGTCATCGCTATCTGAAGTCCGAAGCCGAGGCATGTGGGGTTCAAATGAGCGACAACAGCCAGAGAAAAAGCTCAGAATAATCAAACTGCATGCTTCTTCAAGATAGTAAGGGCAATATGCTTGACAGCCTTCATATTGTAAGATGCTCATACATCATCTACAAACTCATTTACGTTGTCTCTTAAAAATTTTTCTGATAGAGCCTCAGTTTGTTACGAAAATTATTTAGGAGTTAAAATATTTCGCTCCTATTTCACCAATGACTCGTTTTTACATTGCGCCATCTTGCCCGCTCTAATTTTTTTTTAAACTCCGCTTAGTAAAATTGCTGCTTTTGACATGATGTCATTTTTTTTAGCTTGAGTAAACATACGCTTTAAGACTTGGAACAAAGGAGTCATCGGAGAACTGGAATACTAGAAGTTTCTGAAACTCTTCTCAGACCAGTATCTGCCCCTTTTTCCCGTATAGCCTTCTTTGTAATATCACAAGATGATACTTATTGATAAGGAAGGAATATGCGTACCGTCTCATGTTCGAACTATAATGTACCTACATCGTCTTATTGCGCCGATACCCCTTTCATCTTCCCTCTTGCTTACTGTAAGAAGCCTCCACGTTGTGCGTTTAATTGAAAAATTTTTCTTTCCAATCACTCAGGATATCAACCTTCCCCGTAACTCCTAGTCACCCAGTTGCACTTTTGACGTGGGTGCGGGCCGTACCCCAAGAACGAGAACTGTATATAAAAAAAAAGCAAGAATCTCTTGCAAGATAACACATTCTCTACCTGCATACAATGAGTAAAAACTTCATAAAATAAAACTCATTTCCGCCTGCACATAAAGTATTTTACATTCTGCATATAGTTGAAATGAAGTCTCTGTTTTTGAAAGCCTGCACACGGTACAGTCGAACACTCTATGCTACAAAGAATTGAAAAGTAAATGAATACAGATATTATTAACACTATAAACCCATTTAAGCGGTAGCTTCAGCGGCTTCGGCTTCTGGAGCTTGCTTGTAAGACTTAACAGTTGGAGCTGGGACAACTTCATCTTCGTCCTTAGCTTCAGAAATGAAAACAGCATCTGGTAAGGCGGTTGGACCGTTCTTGTTTTGGGCTGGGTCTCTCATAATCTTGACCTTAATACCTAAAACACCTTGTCTCATCAAGACGTGTCTAACAGCAATGTCAATGAAATCCTTGGTTGGTTGACCAGAGTGGATCATGAAACCGTCAGCGTACTTTTGGGACTTAGCACGAGCAGCTCTTAACTTACCAGAGATGACAACTTCAACACCCTTGGCACCAGCACCCATAGCGAATCTTAAGACACCGTAAGCGGCTCTTCTTAATGGTAAACCGTTCAATAACTTGGACTTTAAACCTTCAGCTTGGACAGCAGCAGATAAACCTCTTTCTTCAACTCTTTCAGCATAGATGACAATACCTTCAGACTTGATCTTGAATCTCTTACAGATCAAAGAGTGTAATTCGTGGATTCTTCTACCTTGTTCACCTAAGACACCTTGGGTGTTAGAGGCCTTGATGATGATTTCCAACTTGGATGGAGTCTTTCTGACTTCAACACCGGCATACCCTTGTTCGGCTAATTCTCTGGTGAAGAATTCGTTTAATTCGGCGTAGAAAACACCATCAGCTACTAACTTTCTTTTCTTGGATAAGATAACGTTGACCATTTTGATAAGTTTGGGGATACTAGAAGTAGAGAAGAAAAGAACCAAAGGCTTTGGCTTGAAAAATTTTTTTAGCGGCTCGTTGAAGTGAAAAATTTTTTTAAATGTGTTTTGGACTAGTGCACGACTATGCAGAATGGGATTTTCATATTACGTACGCTATTACATAAGAACTCAGATTTTCAGTATATACAGGAAATGCTGCACCTAAGATTCAGGTGGTTGCAATACTGCACATACAGTAAAATTGCAGCCATTGCGGGGGATTATCAGTACTTGGGGTCCATAGATCCCATCAGGTAACCGTAACCGATCAGCTGGAACCTGTCTTCCATCAACATTGTAGTACCCTATATACATGAGCCAGTAGGCTACTTAGTGAAGGCAATCTTCTAGCATTATGTAAGACAAATGTTTAGGTAGTATTCAACATACATGCCTAATGATTCCCATTCTACTCTCCCTTTCTATTTGTGGTAATTGCAATTAAGACGTGAAATATAGCTATATAATTAGGCTGAAAATGCATGAAGCTGTGACAATACACCCAAATATACATCAAAATGGGCGCAGATTGTAGGAAAAGCAAGCTGAGTGCGCTACCAAGTCGCCATACGGAGCTTGCAAGTGTAGCTCGCCCGGTTAGCTAGAAAAGGCTAGTGTTCACAAAGAGATCAACAGCAGTATTCAAAATTAAGAATTTGGCACCTCTGAGTATACCACTGTGTAGCTAGAGTCGTAACTTTAACATTCAAACTAGTTTCAACTCTTTACAGAGAGAAATCAAGCCACAGGGGTAGAGGTTTCAGAAGGCCATGCATTCATACTACAAATTCCTTCAAACGATAATCTTCTCAAGAAA